CACCAACCACCGTATTATAAACAATGAAGTATGCATAAGATTTTCTGAAACAAAAAAGGGACTTTTAATTTTATGTGCTGTTGCTACTTTTTGTTTATTTTTTTCGTTGAATGTTCTGGAAGTCTATCTTGCCCGTCATCGGAGCCGTGCGTGTGCCGGCACACTGTGCTGCCCTTCCGCGGGCCACGATGTGGGCAGCCAACCAAAGCCGAGCAGCCTCAGAATGCGTGCGGAGCGCTAGTGCGTTAGTGCCAGCCTGTCAGGAGTGAAGATAATTCAATTGGCGAAGCCTCAAGCCGACTCGGGCTGAGCGGAGCGGAGCGGTGGAGCAGCGGAGCCAGCATGTGGCCTCGCCTCTCAGCAAGCTCACCGCGTGCGTGCCGCGCCACCACACTGCTCCACGCCACGCCATGCCGTGCCACGCCGTGCCACGCCAAGCCACGCACCGTCACGCCACTGCCAACGCGCTGACGGCGTTCATGTGAACCGTCGGTCTAGTCCCGATTGCGTTACTCAGTCAGAGGGCGGCAGGGTGAGGTACCACTTAGTCGGCATTGATTCCACCTTCTCAGAACAAGGTGCTGCTACACCGTGCAAAGAGGGTGAGGAAGGACCGAAATTCATAAAAGTCACTGTTGTCCAGAACTCATGAAATTCGGTCGGAATTGTGTGGTACAAAAATTTGAACACTGAAAGTGATTTTCCCTCACGAACTTTGTTGTGCAATTACGATATTTTGGGCAGTCATATTCGCACTCCCAATCATCGTAGAAAATCACAATTTTTTTTTGCAAGTTCTTATTTTTGGACGTGTGTGATGTTTTTTTTTTTTTGCTGGCCGGTGCCCCTGCACCTCCGGCAGCCAGCGCGCTGCAGCGGGTCGCGGCTCCTTCGCCTTATCTGTCCGGACCGCTGGTAATTTAATTACGCGACTCTTTATGACCGGTCGCTCCAAAACAACCCCTTCTTTTTAAAGGACCATCGCGGCGCGCCATTAACCAGCAGATGCCGGCGCCATTTCGGCCAAGGATTCGCCAAACCGTTTTTCCGTATCGGAGCGCCGGCGGCGGCGCTGGCGGCGCGACCGCTGTAGCCCCGCGGTCTCGCGGTTACTGCCGGGTAGTTTGGGGCGCACTGGCGCAGCGACGGCGGTGCACTGGTAGGATTGAAGCGTAAACGCCTTTCTTCCAGCGTGGTTGCCGCGCTCGGCTGCAAGCGTGCCTGTGTCACCGAGAATAAAAGTCACCATCGCGCTGGGGAAAACTAAAAAGTCAGGGTCATTTAGGTATATCTTGGAACACGGAGATAAAACGGGATAGCTATTTATTTTTTTAAATAAAATTTGACGAACTAGAAAGCATATTATACCAAATGTGATGTTTTTTAATTGTGAAAATGACGAGTCCTAAAATTACGAATCTTGTCCGGGTAACAGGTCCCAAAATCACCCTTGAGGCCATATGATCACAAAATGAGTGATTTTAGTTGAAATTCTGTCCTTGTTGACTTTCTTGGATGTTCAGTTTTCGAACTATCAATCGTTTTCTCAACCGTGATCCCCACTATTGACACCGCTCCAGTTCACGCCCATCTGATTTTTCTGCTGCTCCTCCCCTTCGGAGGCCACTGCCAGCTGCAACCCCTTCCCCCCACCACTCCCGTTCGACCCCATCTCGCCCACTATCTTTCCATCCCAGGTACCCGCCGCCCCCCGGGCCACCCTTCCCTTTTCCAAAGAGGGCAAGTTTTCAAATAAGGCGCCGAGCCGCGCGCGGCCGTATGGACGTTCGCGTCCAATGAGAGCGAGAGAGCGAACAACATTTTTATGTGGATCACGCCGCGCACGCGTGCGCGTTCTAAGCACTTTCTAACAGCGAACACGTGCCGGCACCGGATTCGCCTATGCGTCTCGGTGAAAAAGGAAGAAGAAGCGGGGGAGACTTGGAAGGAAAAAAAAGGCGGATAGTCTGCAACAGAATGGGCCCTTTTTCTCCCCGAAAGAGAGATGAGAATGTTTGATCGACACGCCTCTCGTTTTGAGTTATAAAGTAGATGAGAGAATGGTGGGAGGAAAAAGACGTACAAAATCCGGGGGAAAGTTTTTTTTAGTGCTTTTTCCCCCTTCATCTTGGTTTCTGCAGCAACAGCAGCAGGGTTCTTTGCCCCGGGAGAGTATCGGCGACCTGCATCAGACGCACCGGCTGGGCGGCTGGAGAGAGAGGGGGGGGGAGGGGGGACAGAAAGGGCGAGACAAGGGTAAAGGGGAGCTGCAGAAGGACAGAGAGGGACGCGGATGTTGTGAATCCGAACGGGCGTAGAAAACCGGTTACTTTCTTACAGCCGAAAGACAGGCGGAGGGCGCAGGCAGGCAGGCAGGCAGGCAGGCAGCCAGGCAGGCAGGCCGTCGCACAGACCGAGCAGGCAGCCCCTGTTGAGCGCGCCTTGCCTGGCCTTGCCTCCATTATCCGTAATTAGTTCTTTGGAGGGCGAGGACTGCTCTGCGGAGCGCCGAACTGCTGAAAATAAACACAAGGGGCTGCTGCCTATCCCTTCCCTTAGTCCCGCCCTTGGTCGCAGTCACGGCAGTTGACTGCATTTCCACTGCGCGTTACCCGGGGGCTGGAGCCCCGGCTGGAGTGGAGCAGGGAGTAGAGGGAGCAGCACCCAGAAAGTGGGTGCTTGCTTTTTAACCGTGTCCGCTGCTGAGGTAAACGACTGCCACGTGGCAAATTGACCAGCATTTCTCCTTCTAAGCTTGTGATTTGCACTCCTTTGAACAAATGTGTTATCACTTAATTAAAAAAAAAAAAACGGGGTCTGAACGACTATAACACTTGGACACCCCAACCCTGCAAAACCCCACCGCCCCCTCCCCAACCTCTGACCCTTCCGAGACATTAGGTCCTCCGACCCATCCTACCCGTCCTCGTCTTCCCTCTGTCTCGCGACCCTTTTTTTAACATTCACTCTCTCCCTCCGTTCTCCGGGCCACCGCGCCACGGACCCCTCTCGCATAGCAGGGATACGGGATGCTTCTCACCGACGACCGGAAATAAACCGGAAACCCGAGGCTCCGGGACCCGGAAATAACATTTTATCTCAGATTCCAGAGCCAATGGATGCCCTTCTTTATTGGCGGTAATGGATGCCTCGGACAGGCACATCGCGAGGCACTGCGTCGTGAATTGGCTGCTTCTCCCACCCTTTTCTACCCGTGGAGAGAAAGGACCCTGGAGAGAGGCGGACACCTTTCTTCTGGAATTGTTTTCTCTGGGTGGGACCAAAGCTTGGCCCATTTGAAACAACAGTCGGGATGACCTAGGTCTTTGGAATTCGATGCTTTTTGCTTAATCGTCTCAACTGTACGTCTCGTCTGGTGGACCGTGCCAAAGACGGTATTGCCAATTAGTTTTATTTTTCAAATTGGAATACTTTGTCCTTAGGAAGTAGCTAATTGGTTTCGGTCCACTGTCTTCACGCTGAACTTTCAGTCGATTCATCGAATGGTATCAAATTTGGAAGGGGCCGCATCCAAATGTGGTTTGAAATAGCGTCCGTTTTTACCCCACTGGGGCTGAAAACAAATTAACTGCTGTGCATTCCGCTCTGAGACATTCTTGTTCTTTGAAAAAAGGTTCCCTTGCAGATCGGGTTGTCGCGTGGGAGATTCGCGGAAGTACCCGGGCAGCAGGACCTTGCCGGGGAGGCGCGGCCGCCGGAGGGTGACTTGCAGTAACCGTAACCCACAGAGCGCCGCAGACTAGGAGTGTCCTGATTCAATTTGAAAGGCACTGCAAAAAAATAAAAGCAACTGCGAGTCCAGTGGCCGTCTTCCCTTCGAATTTTAGAGCCCGACTGAAACGTGCTACCTCTTTTCCTCTTTGCCTCGCTGTTTCGTCCGCCCACTGCGCATGCAGGGCACGGTGCCTCCTCTCCGAAATGAATTCCCGGACTGAGGCTGCATCTCCACATTAGGGAAATTAGATTGAGGACGGAAAAGGCTCCTTAACAAGACAAAGGAAAATAAAGCAATCGCGGTGCCAATCGAAGTGCAGTGGGTATTATTTCCATTTTTTGAGTCCCTCTTTTCCGCGGGAAGCCCCGTGAGCCACCGCCACCGCCTCGGGGACGCCGGCACGGCTGCAGGTAGCGAGTTTATTGGCTCGAGTGAACAAATTCTGCGTGGGTGCTCCTCTCCTTCCTTTTGCATAACCCGCTTTCGGGTCCGCGCTCCTTCCCGGGGCTCTGACAGAGGATCTTTTTTGTAGCCCATCAAGTAGCCCATCCTGCCAAGGGGGTGTCCGACTTGCCATGCGTTTCCATAGAGTGTCATTGGTTACCATAATGCCATTGGATGCCATGCGGCTTAAATTTTTTGGTGGCATGGGGTTGCTAGGGGCTGCCACTCAGGTAGCCATGGCGTCGCCACGGGGCTGTCATTGACTAGCTTTGTATCAAATTTGTACACCAAAATTCATCAAAAAAGTTACATTCACTGAAATTTATCGACTTTCGACTAAAATTCATCGGATTGTGGCTAAAACTCTTCGAATTTAGACTGAAATTCATCAGAATTCGACTGAAATTCATTTAATTTTGGCTGAAATACACTAGATTTGTAGACCAAAAGTGATTTTCCAACGCAACAGCCGTGTCGGCTGGCCTGCAGGCCCGGCCCCGGCGCGCCCTCAGCCGGCCACTCTTCTGACCAGGCGGCCTACCACAAGCCCTTGAGCGCGCAGCCGCGTGGCCGCGTACTACAGCGGGACATAACCACATCAGTCAGTAATGCCGCCCTGTGCCGCCCGCACTGCGTCCCGGCCAGCCTGCTTCCAGCCTGCCTCCAGCCTGCCTCCACCGCCACGCAGCCTCGGATCGATAAGAAGACGCGCTGGAGCCGCTGGGAGTGGGGGTGCAGGGGCGTGGTGGGGCGCGGTGGGGCGCGGTGGGGCGCGGTGGGGCGTGGCGGGGTGGCGGGGCGGCGCTGCGCAGGGGCCAGACTCACTGCCAGGGCCGTGGGCTGCCCGAGCGCCCCGTCCGTGTGGTCCCGTTCGGGGCGTCCTAACCTCTCTCCCCAGCTGCAAACCGCATTGTGAGTGTTGTGAAAAGTGACTGCTTTCGGCTGGAGGCAACCCTGCGACCGCCTCCGGAGTGCTCGCGAGTTTTCCGCTGCCTGAGGACGACGATGAAGACCCTCGCGCTGAAGCACCAAGCCACGGAGCTGCGAGTTTTCCCCCACGGCCGCACCGAGGCGCCACTGCTCCCTTTCTTCTTCCCGCTCTTTTGCCGCTGCTAGCTGTGTCCGTGGGCGAGTGTTTTGGTTTGTGAACCGAGTGATGCTCGAAGTGAGATGTGAGTGACTGGGACGGTGATGACCTTCACCAGCGTCGTTGACCGGCGGCCTGGTGACTGGTGATTCGGCGCGATGGTGAAGTCCGTGATGGCGGTCAAGGTGCTCGTCGTCCTGGTGGCCGCCGTCGCCCTGCTGCAGCCCGCGGTGGCCAACCCGGACGCCAAGCGTCTCTACGACGACCTGCTCAGCACGTACAACCGCCTCATCCGGCCCGTGTCCAACAACACCCACACCGTGCTCGTCAAGCTGGGCCTCCGACTGTCGCAGCTCATTGAATTGGTAAACATGTTGCATTTTTTCAAAAATTTCTTAATATTTTTAATGTGCGTTGTTGTAGTTCGGATATGCCGTTGACAACGTGTAGAGGCACGGCAGGAACGTCTTGTCTAGAAACACATAAAATCAGGTCAAATTAAGTAGGGTGGGTCTCATAACCTCAAAAGGGGGGTTGCAGTTTTCACCAACGTAAAAGGTATGAACATCTGCGGCATTGGAACCCCAATAGTTAATTTGAACAACGACCGGGAGGGTAGACACTACAAGATATTTTGTACTGACAACTCGATGTTACGCTGTGTTACGGAGGTATGAAAAGTGTACCATGGCTTCGAAATGCTATACAATTTTGCCACATTTGATATCCAAATAGTATCACGTTCGCGTGCGCGTTATGCAGAGCTAGAGCTAGTGCATGGCCTCTCAACAACGACTCAAACCAAAATATTTTTTTAAAAAGAGGGGAAATTTGCGAAAATTCCTGATGGAGAAGAGGTTGAGACTGCCACTATGGAAAAGGGTCCAGAACTGAGTTGATACTCCATTCATTTTTATTCGATATCCGTCCTTTGAAACTTCTTTCTGCATTATGGAAAAACGCGTGTCTGGGAAACTTTAACGAAATCTTTGAAAGGTCTATCTTTAGTGCAACACCTGTTTTGTTCGGCGCCCTTTTCCTCATTCCATATTCATTGCACAACTTGCTGCTAAGTACTCGTGCCTCCTTAAACAGTTGGCTTTAATTATGTCTCCGAAAGACACTCAGCCTCCCCTTCGGTTGGACGTCCCCAAAAGTTGGGGACGCAGTCCTAGGCGCCGGCCCAGCAAACCATTTCCAAAAGTGGCGCTCATGACGACACAATGTTCAAGCACTGTGACGTCACACTTCATTCCAGGAAAATGACGTCACGTTGACACGAGCGTGACCAAATGTCAACCTTCTATTATAACTCTAAAAACACCAACGACAATAAAACCGCTTGTTCAGACTTTGACGAGGTGTTCCGTCCACTCTGAAACACAAAACCAAAAGTCAGAATCAGAAAACGTATTGATCCAACGCACAGGCGACACGCGAAATCTGCGGCCTCCAAAACTTGACATTATTTCAAAGTTTTGGCGCCACACGTCTGCGATGCCCGCTCTCCAACTTTGCTATTTGATTTGCTAATAAGCCGAGTCGGTTCCAACATACTTTCCAATGCATAATAATCAGAAGCAACCTCTCGACCGACCGCAAAGTTGGGACGGGCCAAAGTAAATAGCGAGCCGCGCCGCCCCTCGCGCCCCCCGGCCGACACCTTGGAATCGCAGACACTCGAAACTTGGGCAAATGAGTTCCCGCCCCAGACGTCGACAACACTCGGGCTCTTAAGGGTGGACGGACTCGAGCGGGCAAAATTCACAGGAAAAAGCACGAAGCAAAACCTTTCACTGCGAGAAAAGAATGGGCAACCAACCCTGCAGAATGTCGTCGACAGTAATATAGTTCTTAACTCTGACGTGTTCGGCACTTCCCCGTGTAAATGAGGAACGCTTTAAACAAATGCTTCATTCCAATCTACTTTTATGTCTGTCTGTATTATTGAATTCGTGATTCGCATTCGGTTTCTATCAAAGTAATTCACTTGACACATTAGTAAAACAGCATTGCGTCGTGCCACTCACAGTCGCTCTCTCGCACGGCACACCCCGGCACCCATACCCCCCCCCCCCACACACACACACACACACTCTCTCTCTCACACACAGACACACACGAGTTATCACGTTACGTGACGAGGCCGGTTGCCCCGCGGTCGTGAATCAGGTGTGTCGGGCTAAACCCTCCCATTTGCTCCCTCCCCCCCTCCCCCACCCCTTTTCACAGTCGATATGCCTCAGTGTTCCTCCTTGTGGCGTGGCACGGCGTGGCGGCGTCGGGTTTCGCGTCCAGCGGGGTGCCCTGTTCGCACACCCAATTATTCGGGCATAATTTGATTACCTCGCCGACCCCCGAACCCGCCGTTCATCCCCGAAGGGTCCCGCGCGTTTGGCGGGCCCCGCCCCGCCGCGCCCCGCCCCACCCCGCCCCGCCGCGCCGCGCCACACCGCGCCAACTCATGACGGAAGGATCCAGTTACCGGCCGCCGTTTCCGGGCCCCATTATCCACCACCTCAAGGTGCAATAATTTAAGGTGGCGAGAGACGCGCTTCGGACAGGGCAAGGCGCCATCCTCAACAGCCACAGCGAAAAAGAAATCTAGTTTGGTTTGGAAAATGTACGGGCCTGGTTCGCGGCAGTCCCTACAAGGATCTCATGTAAACATGTAGTAAACCTCTGCAGTTGGCAGGGTTTAAAAGGTCCATACTTTGTACCAAAATGACTTGTCTCGCACCAAAACTACAGAATATTTTGCAGTGCGCCCCGAGGCGAGCAGACACTGTCAATGGAACCGGCCGCCTCGCCTCTTGGATATTCCTCTCCCCGTCCGGGACAAAGCAGAGCGGAGGGAAGCGGATCTATTAAGGCATTCATTTGCGCGCCTTGTGAATTACAACTCAATGCATTAATGAAAAGGCCAATGCGGTGCAGCCATTCACGACCGGTGATGAAGAGAGACAGGCGGATGATGGCCAATCGGAAGGAGCGAGCAAAAGGAAAGCAGACGGTCTTTTTTGGCGGCCGCCGCGAGCGGTGAAGGTGGCTGGGGTCGGAAAGAAAGAGGGAGGGGGGCTGGGTAGGGACAGTGAGTAAAAAAGGGGGGGGCGTGGCAGAGGGGTTGCATCGCCGATGGGCAGAGTTAGACAGGAAATGCGCAGTGCGTGTGTGGCCGGTAAAACAGAAAGGAAGTGGGGGCGTACCACAGTGGGCCAGAAGGCCGGCGGAGGCGGTCAAAGTCCCGAATGGGTTTTGAGCTCTAGAGTCACTAAACATGACTCGAATCGAACGTGTGACCCCACCAATGGATTGCTCTTCGAACGAGGAATCCATTGGTGGGGTCACACGTTCGGTTCGAGTCCTGTTTAGCGACTCTAGAGCTCTAAACGCGCCCAGGGTTTTTGGCCGCCTCTCCCGGTCTTCTGGCCCACTGTGCGGGCCGCGCGTTCGGCCACGGCTTGTTGGACTCGTTTTCTGGGCGAGACAGCACCCTCTCGCTCGCTCTCGCTGTTGATGGATCGGACGGACGGGCTGCCACCGACAGCTGGGGCGCTTATTATAAGTTTGCACTAAACGAGGCACGCGAAAATGAACCCTTGACCCGCAGCTCACTCTCTTTTGTCGCCTTTTTATGTTGCAGAACTTGAAAGATCAGATCCTGACAACCAACGTCTGGCTGGAACATGTAAGTACACTGCAGGGGTGGTGTTCGCGATCTATATTTGTTTTGTTTCTGTACTTTTTTTGGGGGGGGGGGGTTTCTTTTCAATTTCCACGAGAAGAGCTTAAAAAAACGGGCGCGGCGAAAGGCAGGGAAAGCGAGGAAAGTGGAGAAAAGCGGGGAAGTGCAAAGCGGGACGAGGCACTCAGTCCGTAAGCACAACCCAGGGCAGCACTTGGTGCGAGTCAACAAACAGTCGAGAAGTTGGAGTGTTGAGAAAGAAAACCGAGCGGCCAAGGGAAGAGATACATATTTTGCTATCCGAGTCGGCAGCCTACTCCACTTCGATAGCACGCGAATAGAGACCAACTTCTGCGGCCCTTCCCTCCACGTCCCGTCAGAGAAGTGGACAGTGGGCTAGAAGACTGGCGCCGGCGGCCAAAACTCAGACGCTTTTCGAGATCCAGAGTCGCTAAACAGGACCCAAACCAAACGTGTGACCCCACCAATGGATTCCTCGTGCGGAGAGCAATCCATTGGTGGGGTCACACGTTCTGTTCGAGGCCTGTTCAGTGACTGTGCAGCTCAAAACGCGTCCGGGATTTTGAACGCCTGCACCGGTTCCCTGGCCCACTGTCAGGATTGGTCCGGCATCGGCCACAGCGAGCACTTAGGCTGCCCCCTGGAGCTTCGGAATGCGGCGCGGCGACTGAAACAAACACCCGGCCATTTGTAAGCGACGCGGTAATCTAGGAAGGGCTCGCCGACCTTCGTGGCAAAAGGTCGGACGGCCGGAGCGCGAGGCAACGGAAGGATGAATGCGGGCAAATCAACCAGCGCGTCTTGACTAGCCGCACTGGATGGCCGGATTGTGTTGCGTAGGCAACCCGTCGGGCCGCTCGGACTGATTCCGCGCAGTGGTTTGCAGCCCTTCTCTCTCGCCCTCACGTGGCGGTCCGAAAGGGTGTGGGGGAGACAGAACGAGGTGTCCAAGACCGGCCGGTGTGATCACTCCGCGGCCGCCACGGCGCGCGTCGCCCTCTCCAAAAATGGGCATTTGAATTGGAAATGGGCGAGGAACGAAAACACGGAGCAATTAGTACGAGGCTGTCCATCTCGGACACGCTTTCGACGACCGCCTGTGACTTATTAACCCAATGAATATTTCATCCGGCGACAGCACGACAGGGGCGGCGGGCCTTGACGAGGGTGATATTGTGCTGCCGTATTTATAATCTGGAAACAAAAGCAGTGCAGGGCAGGTGGGTGGGTCCACTGCGGAATCCGACCGCCACACCGGAGTGCCTGTCCTGCCGTGAGGGTGCGAATGCGAGCAGGGCGGTCTGCGCCAGGAGGCCTACACTCTCAATGCCTTCTGGACAATGGGAAATCACTATGAATTTCAGTCGAATTTCGGTGATTTTCAGTCAAATTTCAAAGAATTTCAGTCGAATTTCGATTAATTTCAGGCAAAAATAACTGAATTTCGAGAAGAATTTCGTCGAATCTTGATGAAATTCAGTAAATTACTCCAGTAAGACCGAAGCATGCACTCACACTGCGGTGAGGGTTTGCGGTGTAGGAGTTGTTTCTCCTCTATCCGGCCTGGCACTTGCAAGCCTCTCCCTTCCGGCGGCTATCAATGTCGACTAATCTGAAAAGAGAAAATCAGGAGCGGCGGGGCTCCGCGCTGCGCCTGGGCAGCCTGGGCCCCGGGCCCTGGGCGGGGCCGGGCAGCGCGTCGGCTAAATACCGCTCAGTCAGAGCTATCAGCCGAGTGGATCGACCAGCGGGGTGTTGGGCGCTACACTGGTGCCGCCTCAATTTATCGGCGAGTCTCCCACACTGGTAATCCGGCTGTTCCGGCAGATACCGTTTGGCTTTGCGCTGCTCGAGATCGGAAGTCGGATCTTGGCGCCCCGCCCCGCCAGGCGCCCTCCTGGAGGGGAAAGGGAGGGGAGGGGGGAGGGGGGCAGCGCCAGGGGAGATAGGGCCTTATTTGTAAGGTGCGAGAATTACTGCAGTCGGGAACAACTTGATTCAGTCGGACACAAACCCCGGCAGCGCTCTACCCGCCGGCAAAGTGGTTAGCCCCCAAGCACCGTCTGTGGCGCGCCATAACACACGTGATCACCCGACAGACAGACCTCCGTATTATTTTTTCAAAGCTGTAATTTTTTTTTTAAGTTTCTGCCTATGGAGGGGCTTTTTTGGAGACCTCTCCCGAAAGTTTGTTTCAAGCTTACTTAGCTCAGGCTTAGACCTCATATCTGAAAGTACCCTTCTAGTCCGCGGCTTTGCCGCACTTGGACTGAAATCGAGAAGTTCGCGACGAGGCGACGGCCCCGTCACATGCTGGCGACCAAAAACTCGCTCCGCCAAAACTTTATTTCTTACGCCCGTCCCGATTGTTGCCAACTATGCAGACGAAATATTGTTAAGTGCGTCGAGCAAACAAGTTTGGCTGGAACCAGACTCGGCATTCCGATGTAACGCAAGCCGCGCCCCGGCGAAATTGCCTCGCAGGGCCGAGCGCCTCGCAGAGCCGGTTCAACCTCCGTCCTTCAAATTCTGAAAACGCCCGGCCATAATTGAGCCGCGAGGCTGCTGCCAGACTGCGAGTCGCTTTCGTCGCTCTGTCTCTCTCGCTCTCGTGGGGCGTCTCCTTGGGGGCGAGAGAGACAGAGCGACGGGGAAGGGCTCTCGGAATCAGTCTGCTGCTGATGTTCCTTGTGGATTGCGGCGGGGCTGTGGATAGGGGAGGGGGGGGGGAGTGCTCTGGAGAGTACCGACCGTCTCTCTGTGGCTTTGCCACGCTTTGCTACGCTCTGCTACCAAAACACCCCGCCACTCTTATCTTCTTATTTTCGCGGCGCTTTTATTTCGCGTCTTTGTTGTGGAAATATATTAACGGACGGAATCGAATGATAAAAACGAGAGGAAAAAGCAGAGCGGCGGCGGTGACGTCGCCAGTAATACCCTTTTGTTTGTTTGTTTGTTTGCTTCCAGGAGTGGCAGGATCACAAATTCAAGTGGGACCCGCAGGAGTACGGCGGCGTCACGGAGCTCTACGTCCCGTCCGAGCACATCTGGCTGCCCGACATCGTGCTGTACAACAAGTGAGGGCTTAAGTTTAGCACACTGTTGAAAAAAATAACAAATTTCAAATTTCCAGAGGATTTGTTAAGCGCGTGCAAAAAATTGCCTCCGATCTTCGTAAAAGTTCCAAACCTTGAAACGTTCCTATTGTGATGAAGGTTCCGGTCAGCACAGTACACATCTGTTTTGAAAATTGAAAATTCCACAATGTTTTGACTGAGCCGTGAAGCGCATTTTCGTGGATTTTCTCTAGTTGAGTGCAACAGTGCAGCACTGGTTGCACGGGCAGTGCAAGGGCCCCACCTGGATGTGGCGGCCTCCCCAGGGGCGCGCCGCTGCCCTGGCGGCACCGGCGGGCGGCTGCGGCCGGGCGGGCGATCGCGCGGGACAAAGCTTCTCTCTCTTTTATGACTTGTGACTTGGCTATATTCCCGCTAATCCGGGAACTCCGCTCCTTTGACGACTCGCTTTTACGAGGGCGATTCGGACCGGGGTCTCGGCCGCGTCGCGCCCCACCGCGCGCCCCGCGGCACGCGTGCGCCCCGCCGGGGGACACGTCTTGGCCCCGCAGTGGCCGCCGCGCGCGCGCGCCTGTCTGTGTGTATGTCTGTGTGTGTGTGTGTGCGTTCCTGTGGGTAGGAAAAATGGAGAGTGTATCTGAGTGTGCTTGGGGGGGGGGGAGGTTGGGAAGAGTGTGGGAGGGAGAGAGAGAGGAGAGAGAGAGAGAGAGAGAGAGAGAGAGAGAGAGAGAGAGACCGCGGACGTGCGTGGGCGCTCATTGGGGCGCGGACTTGGCTCGTCTCCAAACCCCGCGTGTGCATCCAGTGCCCCGCCATCCAGGGTGATGCTGGTGGTAGAACATTGGTCGGACGGAAGGCCGCGCCACGCCCCAAACCGCCGCAAATAAAAGCAGAGCCGGCATCAACAGCCGAGCCCCGGCGCTGGCATTCTGGGACTGGCACACTGCACAGTGGGCCAGAAGACCGGCGCAGGCAGTCGAAATGCCGGACGCGTTTTGAGCTCCGGAGTCGCTTAATGAGACTCGCACCGAATGGATTGCTCTTCGGACACGGTAAAAAAGGTTCCTTGTTTTCCCGGGAAGCCTATGGTAAAGACATGGACGATTTCCAGGGAGTTTCCTGGCAAAACCAGGAACCGTGTTGTTAATATGCGCCCCGCTGACGTGACGGAAATTTCAATAACTGCCAAACTGGTTGAGATAACCCAGCCGTGGACCTTGATCGCGATGAGTCATTCCACCAAGATTGTTTTTGCCAGCGCGGGCCCCGGGGCGGGGGAACGGCCAGGTGCACGCACAACAGGTGTGCCGAGGCGCTCTTAACGCGATGCACCGACGCACCGCCACCGCAGCAGCAACACGCTGTGCCCGCCAGCCGCGTTACAAGCCGAAACATTCACCGAATAACGATAATAGTAAAAAAACAGAAAAAAAGTTCCGCGGCGTATAAAACAATGCGTCGACGGCGGAGGCGCCCCCTCCCCCTCTCCTCCCCAGGCCCTCGTTGCAGTGTTTGTATTCCACTCAAGTCCGCGTTTTACTGCGCGATGCCGACTCGCAGGGCCCCCACGCCCCGCCAGTGATATGAAGTATTGCTATGTCGCAAAATGGCAGAAGGGGGGGGGAGACAACAGAACAAAACGAAAGGAAAAATTGCCCGTTGCCTTGTCTGTGCGAATCGGGAGTGCGTGGTGAGGGCCGGGTGTGCGTACGAACTGGAGGGGGAGGGGGAGGGGTACTAAATGTATCGACACTGTCATTTTTCAAGTGGCGAAGGATACACTGTGAGGAATACTAATTTAGACGGAATGTCGACAACACTCCTTTTTCTGGTATGGAGGCGAGTGCACTCAGAATGAGAGAGTCTTGATCAATGCCACATTTTGAGCGAGGTGTGCTTTATCATCCAAGTTTAGATGAGGTTTATGTAATCACCTAAATTTGGATGGCGAAGATTTCTAACCCTAAGCGATCGAAAGCACCCTCGCAACAACCTTCACAACAGTCTGTCGTATTTAAACAATTTTTGTTGTTGTTTTTTCTTCTTTTTAATTTTTTTCTGTTGCGGAGGCGTTCATGAAGACTTTTGCCAGCACCTGGGCCTAATCCCCCGACGCCGTGCTCCGCCGTGACCGTTGTGACCGCCGTGGCCGCCGTGTCCGCCGCGGCCGCACGGGGCGAGTGCAAAGTCCGGTCACGATCGGCAATGGTTCATTCCCAGTCCCCCGGGGCGGGCGGGGCGGGGCGGGGCGGGGCGGGGCGGGGCGGGGTGAGGTGGGTTGGGGCGGGGCGTCCCCGGGAGCAGCGTGGTCTTTATTCCACAGACTGCTCCCGGACGGGCCGGCCCAAACGCATTAGAACGGTAAAAAAAAGAAACAATGAAAAAAATGTTCTCTCAGTTTGGGGTAAAACCGGAGTTTCTGTCATACAAGCGGTTAACGGACAGAATTCCGTATGTGTTTCTCATGGACCTACACCGTGACGTCGAAGGGAAAAGGAAGGTGGGAGCTTGCCGCGTGTGATTTCAGCTAGGCCGCGTCAAAGAGGGAAGCGAGCCAGGCCGGAAATAGGCGCGTTACAACCGGAAGTGCCAAATGTGAAGGAAGGGCCGGAAACCGACGCCTGTGTCGGAGTAAGCGCGGGGAATTGGAGGGCAAGAATCATCGTTTCGAAATTGGCTCGGCCCTCTTGGGCCGTTTTGAATAGCAGAGCACCGCTCGTAGGTGTGTGTGTGTGTGGGGGGGGGGGGGGGGGTTGCGAGTGTGTGTGTGTGTGTGCATGTATGTTTGCTGACAGCACACGGGCGTATATATCCCCGCTGTGACTGCTGCTACCGACCGAGCTGGCTGACAGAGAGTTTGTGTGTGTGTGCCTGTGTGTGTGAGCGTGGAAATCCATCATAGCACCGTGTTTGGACTCCCATTCACGGCATTAGTGCTCGGCGTGTCGCGCAGCCGAGTGGAGGTCGATACCATCCACAAGTGCAAAACGGTTTCGCAGCCCTTTGTGTCTCCTCGTTTCTTCTCTTACGCTCGTGTCGAAAAGTGGGAGGCACAGAGGAGGACAGGGCACAGAGGAGACAGGAGGGGGGGCGGTCGTGCCCGGATGGTTGGCAACCTGCGTTTGGACGGCATTACCTAGAACGGGTTGCGTGCCGTCTTCAGTGCCGCTCGAAGAGAAATAGCCGTGGGAAGAGTCCTGAGGACTGAATCACCCGCTACGTGCGCAGCGCAAAGTACCCACAAAAAAAAAGTTTCAACTAAAATTTCAGGCCAAGTTATTTTATGTTTCGTTAGAAACGGACATAACGCAACATTCTTATTGCTGGAAAAAAATCAGTAACGCTAGGACCCAAGCATTCGCCCTGAAACGCCGTACCTCGACGAGAGCTGAGGGCGAGGAACCCCCGGCAATAGGCAAATTGCGCAACTTCAGAGAGTTTCCCCTCTCCCTCTCTTTTTCAGCCCGGTCCTGGATCCGCTCCTGGCGCGCGTTTGACCTGCAAGAGAGTAATAGTCTTGCGATGTGCAGATACGGGCACATAAATAAAGGCGGGAGTTCGGTAGTGGGCTGAGGCCAGGCGAGAGGGGAAGGGGGATGGGGTGGGGGTGTCTTCGGGGGGCCCAGGGGGCACGGACAGCCTGAGATATGAGATGTGCCCCCCAGAGGGAGGCCAAGGGGGAACGAGGGGGACTGTACTGGGGGGCCTCTGACCTCCCTGGGGGCACTAGGGCGGCCGGGATCTCTCTCTCTCTCTCTCTCTCTCTCTCTCTCTCTCTCTCTCTCTCTCTCTCTCTCTCTCTCCGTCTCTCCCTCTGTCGCATCCTCCCCTCCTTCCCACATTTTGCACACCTGGGCTCGACCGGCCATGTTGCGCCGCCCAAACGATTCTCTCTCATAAACAGGAGCGAGTGAGGATTGCCGGCGAGGGTGTCCTTGCAAGGGGGACACTGCAAAAACTGAGATCGCGCTGCATTTGCGCTACGAACCCGACTAAGTACACACTTGCAAATGCATAACTGCTAGAACACACTTTTACAAATGCATCCTTGGACAAGTGCACACTTACAAGTGCATACATGCTTGGCCAAGTTGCTCACTTATAGCTGCATACTTGGCCAAGTGCCTTTTTACAAATGCAAACTTGGCTAGTACACCCTTACAGTTGCATACACTGACAAAAGGAAACATGTGTTGCTTTGTTGCAGTGCGGACGGCGAGTACGTGGTGACCACCATGACCAAGGCCGTGCTGCACTACACCGGCAAAGTCCTGTGGACGCCGCCCGCCATCTTCAAGTCTTCCTGCGAGATCGACGTGCGGTACTTCCCCTTCGACCAGCAGACGTGCTTCATGAAGTTCGGGTCGTGGACGTACGACGGATTCCAGGTCGGTGCAAACGGCAACACAGTCACAGTAGTGTACCCAACAAAAACTCTACGAAGATTTTTTGTGAATGTCTGCTTCTGCTTCCGACAGATTGATCTGCAGCACATCAACCAGAAGGTGAACGAGAACATGGTGGAGGTGGGCATCGACCTCAAGGAGTACTACCCGTCCGTGGAGTGGGACATCCTGGGCGTCCCCGCCGAGCGGCACGAGCGCTACTACCCCTGCTGCAACGAGCCGTACCCGGGTGAGTTTCTGTCTTGCTCGCTGACGGCAGCCTCCAGCTCTACCTCCAGAGTCTCTAAACAGGACTCGGACCATGCGTGTGACCCCACCAATGGATTCCTCGTTCCATTGATGGGGTCACCCGTTGCGTTCGAGTCTCATTTACCGGTCGTTTGCCTCGCTTTTTCTCGCTCGCTGTCTCGGTCAATCTCGCTCCTGCAGCGAGGGAATATTTGAACGTTCCGATACGGAGGAAGGAGAGGGGGAAGCGGGGCGGACGCAAACGGGAGGACGGTCTCAGGTGTCGGTCCAGCGTCCCGTCCCGCGTCGTCGACTTCGGCTCGGCTCGGCTCGGCTCGGTCCAGGAAGGGAAATGAGGGGAAGGGGGTGGCTTGTGGCGAGAAAAGGGACTCCTCACATTTAATTAACGTCCGTGCAGATCTGAAGGGAGCAACCCGAGAGCGGTGCTCTCCGTCTCTCTCCCTCCCTCTCCGCCGATGTAAATAAAGTCTCGGTTTACCCCTCATTATTCTCGTCCGTTTACGAGTCCTTAATGCTGGTTATTCTCCTCTCGGACCTCCTTGGAGGCCTCGGCCGCCTCGGCCAGGCGCCGTGGTGCCTTCCGGTCTGCCGCGCCGTGCTCTCTCGCGCCTCGCGGGACGCCCCGTGAGTGCGAGAGAGACAGAGTCAGTCTGCGCTGTGATTGGCTGCTCCCGCCAATTACGCGCCGCGATAATCCACGACGCCTTTCCCGCGCTTTTCCAAATTAGTTTATTTCCGTCTGAAAGTGCGCGCGCGCCAAAGTTTAAACGCGTCTCGCCGGCTCGGCTCGGCGAGGAGGAGCTGCATAAAACTGCCTCGTTGCGCCCATCGCCGCGACTCGCGAAGGGAAGAAAAGTTGGCGAATAACCGGAACAGGAAACTGTTTTGGACAAAAAAAATACAAATAGGGAGGGGAAAAAAACTTGGCACCTGGCGCCTTTAGCAGTGTGCGCAGGCGAAGCGGAGGTTGGAACGAGTGATGCGAAGTGTACACATGCACTCGGGAGTCAGGGACAGCGCGTGTTGCCCGAGAGATTTTCCTCGGAAATGCTTAGATTTCCATAGGAAAATAACACCGGTGGGGTGCTAGGGTTATTGCCATAGGCAAATGGCTCGCTGAAATAATCTTGTGGAATGGAACCGCTGCGCGAATCATTACTATGCAATATTTGCGCTGTGGATAGAATTTCACATCGCTCATTTGTCGGAAACTGTGAAAGGTCACGTGTACTTTTTTTTCAACTTTGTGGAGTATGGTTTTCAACCAATCGAAATTTATAAAATTTAAAAAAAAAATAATATATATATATTTGTATAACAAACTAGTGTGTGGCTTGTAATCAAATGCTCAAAAAATACTTCGTAAGGTTTTATCTATGCAGAAAACTTCAGCTTTGTCAACAGTAGCGTCACCTCGAAAGAAAGAGACACTCAAGTTGATCGGAGACGCGTGGAACACAGGCGCGTCAGCGTGTAGGCCTCGAGTGTCTATTAGAGGTGTCGAACACTCCCCACCCCCTCTTCCACGGCAGCTTTTCCACCTCTGCACTACACACTCTTAACCTGTCGCACCGCCTCTTTCAAAGCCCTCCGTTCGCTCTTTTCTGCTCCTCTTGTCGCCGTGTCCCCCTCCCCTTTTTTCTCCCCGCACCACATCAGCGAAATCAAGGCTGATTGCTTTTCGTTTGTTCGCACGGCTCCAATTAACTGGGGGGCGTGACGCTCCGCGGCGCGGTGTACAGTGGCGTGGCGTAGAGGGGGGAAGGGGGAGGGAGGGGGAAAATCGCAGGCAACTGGAGCATCCCGGTTCGACTCCAGGAAATGTGCGTTCAATTCTGCCCCTCCCGCTTTTTACTCGCTGCCCTCCCGAAGCGTTATCATCGTGCAAGCCGCGTGCAACTCTTTTTGAAATTGAAATCGCTGCCAGCGTACGCGCTTCTTTCGATGGATGCGCTCCCGTGATTGCCGGCAAAACCGTCCTTTTTCTTCTCTTTTCTCTTTTTTTGTACTTTTTCCACCTTTTATCCGAGCCGAGCCTGAACGATTTGGGCAATTAAATTATTAGGCGTGCGCTCGTCGGGCTGCATGTTCCCGCCTCACCCGGCGTGCACAGTGTAGGTGTGGAGGCCGACCGCGTTGCCGACGTGCTCCCCCTGTTGCCTGCCTCCCTGGGTCCTGCCCTGCCCTCGCGCCGCACAGTGGACCAGAAGACCGGTGGAGGTGGTGGTTGAAATCCCGGACGCGGTTTGAACTCCAGAGTGGTGAAAAAAAAGACTAAAATTTCGAAAAACAGTATGCACAAAGTGATACCTCTCTCCACTCCTCCTCTATCCTGTAACACTCCCCACGCTCACTCTCCGCCGCCTCTCTGTCCGCAGACATCTTCTTCAACATCACGCTGCGCCGGAAGACGCTCTTCTACACCGTCAACCTGATCGTGCCGTGCGTGGGCATCAGCTACCTGACGGTGCTCGTGTTCTACCTGCCCGCCGACTCCGGCGAGAAGATCGCCCTGTGCATCAACATCCTGCTGTCCCAGACCATGTTCTTCCTCCTCATATCCGAAATCATACCCTCGACGTCGCTGGCGCTGCCGCTGCTCGGCAAGTACCTGCTCTTCACCATGTTCCTGGTGGGCGTGTCCGTCGTCATCACCATCATCGTGCTCAACGTGCACTACCGCAAGCCCTCCACGCACAAGATGGCCTCCTGGGTGCGGAAGCTCTTCATCCGGTGGCTGCCCAAGGTGCTCCTCATGCGAGTGCCCGACACCATGCTGGCCGACCTCGTGGGCAACCGGTGAGTTCAAAGCGGTGCCGTCATAGACGCTTCTCTACTTTAGGTATGACGAGCAAAAACTTGTTTTGGGGCAGAACCTGTCGTCTCGTCTTTTCTTCGTGGCAAAAACACGTGCCTTACATGTTGGACGAAGTACATCAAAATGTGTTTACCGTGTAAACGGCCGTTCAATGAAAAATAGGTGTTAGGCAACGACTGTTTTCCCCAGTTCCGGCCCAACCGTTCGTAGTTCACGCAACGCCGACGCAGGGCAGCTCACTTCCAAACTGCGTATACTTCAGCGGGGGCAGCGCCATTTCTCATACTTTGCGCACCTGGCCGGGCTTCTGGCGCGGGCGCGGGGAGCGCCAAGGCAAGGTGGCGAGACTCTGGAGAGACCGGCAAGGTGGAGAGACCGGCAAGGCGGTGGCCGCCAAGATCTCGGCCGTCTTCGCCCCAGGGTCCACGGCGCCAGCCTCCCCGGGCGGCAACTGTCTGTCCCTCTCGCACCCTGCCGGGTCGGCCTACGAGTGCGAGAGAGAGAGAGACCCGACGCTCGCTGGTACGGGGTCGGCGGAACGGGCCCTGGACTCCCATCCCTCATTCGCAAACTGCCTGCGACTCCCCGGCCAACCATGGGCCAACTTAGCTCCAGGTTATCCAGATTAACTCGGAGAGCCGGCTGGATCCGCAGTCACGGAGTCACCGCAGGGCTTAAGTGCGCTGCCCAGCGCCGATATGCAGTAGGGGGGGAGGGGGGTGGAGGCTACCACCGGACTTGACGGCAGCGGCCGGGTTGTGTTCTCCAAACGACTAGCTGGCGGCGAGGTCCCAAGTCCGAAGCAAAGCCCAGCTCGCCAGACAGGCGCCCCCTCCCCCCCCCTCCTTCCGGAGGGGGAGAGTGGAGGGGGAGGGGGTTGACTATTCGTGCCTGCAAGTAATGGCGGGATTATGCCTGGGCAGGGCGACCGGGCGGCGCGGTGGGCTCGGAGCACGTCTGGACAAGGCGCGGGTTTCTTGAGTCGGTTTAGCATGATACAAGTCGTCCCACTATCGGTCATGGCCACACACACACACGACTAAAAATCTGGGTGAGGAATTCTCTTCTTCTTACTCACCCTCCACTCGTATACCCTTTCCGATACTCACTCAATCACGCTCACCAACTCACTCCCTGTGTGTTTCCTCCGCTCACTCGTCGCCAGGACAGTGTGCTAGCGAGGTGCGCGCCAGGCGGGTAGGGAATTCTGTTGGACGCGACGTTGTCGAGCCATGAGCCCTTCTGCGGTAAGGGCCACTTAGCGACGCAGATCCCCCTTTTACTGTCCTCTCGGAGCTTCGAGTGCGGGGCGGCCGGGGGCGGCCGGGGGCGGCCCTCCCTTTGCGACGCGTGTTTGACTTTTTCTCTGGGTCCATACACACCGCTCGCGGAATCTCCGCGGATCATGTTCTTTTCCTCGCACGAGGGAAACTCTCCAGACGCGCCTTTAGCTCCGGAGTAGCTAAATGGGAATCGAACCCAGCTTGTGATCCCACCAATGGGCTGCTCTCCGAACTAGGAAACCATTGGTGGGGTCACCTGTTCGAAGTCCTGTCGAGCGACTCTGGAGCTCAAAATGCGTCCGGGATTTGGACCGCCTGTGCCGGTCTCCCGGCCCAAGGTGCACCGCCCGTCCTTGCATGCACCTCAACTAGTCCGACCTCAGCAGCTTGGGGCTGTTGCCCTCGCCGTCCTCACGGGACCTCCGCCTGCGCGGTCATGCCGAACTGAGCTTTTCGTCTTACTCGTCTTACTTCTGCCCATGTCATGAGAGAGACAGGGTGACAGAAGTCCTGTTCGGAATCAGTCTCCCTCCGGGCCCCGCCCCGTGCGGTGGAGAGCAACACAGGTGTCCCTCGTGCACGCCGTCCTCGAATCGAAAAGATTTTCACCCCGCCGCTACCTCTTCCTGCTACCTCTCCCCACACGTGCGGCTCGTATCCACGGTTTGCATCTCTTTAACTTTTTTTCCCGGTGCCTTTTTTGCCCGTTCCCAGGCGGCTGTTCCGACTGTCAACGAAAAAGGCCCGCCAGATGCAGACCTCGGCCTCGCAGGTGGTGGCCTCGTCCTCCACGGCCTCGTCGCCCGATTCGTTCCGCCTGCCGCCCGGCCGGCCAGGGGGCTGCAACGGGCTGCACACGGGCCCCACCAACCGATTCGCAGGCAAGTGTTCAGTGCTTCACTGCAAAAAGAAAAAAAAAGTTTCCGCTTTCTTTTTTATTCCTTTTTCATTTTTTTTTGATTTTTTTTTAAATTTCTCATTATTTTTTCTTTCATCTTCAATTTTTTTTTCATTTTTTTCTTTTCTTATATCATTTTTTTATCTTCCTCCCCCTTTTTTTCCCTTTTTTTTCATGCTTCGTGCACTTTTTTCCATTCTTTCATTTGTTTTCTATTCTTTCATTCTCCGTCATTTAAAAAAAATTATCTGGATGACCCAGCACCCTCAGGCTCGGCGGTTCTTCAAACATTTTCAAGCCGTATCGACAGCCCAATTTTTCTCCTCTCTTTTTTTGACTTTTTTTCTTTTACAACGGCGGTCGCTGTGTCGCACATGACAGGCCGTGCTAACGCCACTCGACGCCATCGGGGATCGATCCGAATGCATCGGTAAAAATGTAGCGCCGATATCGGCTCTTTTTGGGACATTGTCGGTCCGATCAGCACGACCGAGGGGGTGGGGGAGGGCTGGGCCTTGGCAGTGTGTGTCCAGAACACCCCGCAGTGCTCCATTTGTTTCCCCATTATTGTCTTTCATGGTTAACGTGATAAAAACGGGGCGCCCGGCAGACGAAAAGTGGCTCGAGGATGGTAATTATCAAATATTTTTTTCCTCCTTTTTTTTCATCCTTGGTGCGCCGTTGTCCTGCGAACCAGATGCGGCTTACGGCTTCGGGATCGGGGGAGCGTCCAGACGGCAAACCATCGGCAGTAATTTTTTTTGTTGTTGTTATTTTTGAGATTCTCCGTTTTGCAGGCCTGTCGTCCGTGCTGGCGGGCCTGGACGACAGCCTCTCCGACGTGGCGGTGCGCAAGAAGTACCCCTTCGAGCTGGAGAAGGCCATCCACAACGTGCTCTTCATCAAGCACCACATGCAGCGGCAGGACGAGTTCGACGCGGTAAGTTTGTTCATCCTTCAAGTTTTTTTTTATTCTATAGGTGAATTTTGGATGACCTTTGCGACCAAATTTCATGAATTTCGCTATGAACTTCACTGTTGTCTGAAGAATTTCTTTAAACTTAGAATAAACTTTTAGAAGTTCGAAGAAATTTGAGTAAAAGTTAAGATTGACCACGAATTTTAGTGTGCAATTTTTTTGTGTTATTTCTCTTTGGTACTTGATTTCCTATTGTGGCTATCCAACAAAGTTGATCAAACAAAGGCTTTTTTTTTGGTGCCCGCTGCGCTGGCGGGTCACTCTCCTGGCGCTGCCAGTCTCGCCTCACTTCCCGCTGCACGGCGCAAAGTGCGCAAAGCGCGCAAAGTGGCGGAGAAAGAGTTTATGGAATTCCTGACCCCCTTTTACGCCGAGCCCCAGGGCAAGTCCAGGGCGCCGAGCTCACGTGGCACAGTGGGCCAGGAGACCGGTGGAGCGGCCAAAAATCTACACGCGTTTTGGGCTCCAGAGTCGCTAAATGGGACTCGTACCGCACGTGTGACCCCACCAATGGATTCCTCGTTCGGAGAGCAATCCATTGGTGGGATCACACGTTCGGTTCGAGTCCCATTTAGCGACTCTGGAGCTCAAAACGCGTCTCGAGTTTTGTCCGCCTCCACCGGCCTTCTGGCCCACTGTGCGTGGAGTCCCTTCGCTCCAGACGAGTGCGCGGCTGCCGCGGCTGCGCGCCTAGGTGGGCTAGGAGTGGGAAAATGGCGCGGCGTAGCGCTTAGGCCGCATAAGCACAAAAGCGGGCTGAATTACGCCGTACAGGTTCCCGCCGCTTCGCCGCTTGAGAGCGCACCACTGCGAAAATGGGTCTCCAGGCACGTACGGACGCCCGCTCCTTTTTTAGGGGACCTCTACATGTGCATCCCGCCGAGCACATATTTTATGCGGTTGTACGGCAGGCGCGCGCCAAGATCCGTTTTATGGCGAGGAAAGCACTTGTCTCCGAGTGAAACACTTTCGCCGTGTCGTCACCGCCCCGCCATGCATTAGGGTCCTCATGTACTTTCGGTTTCCCAGTGGGGCGACGGATTCTGCCGAGTTTAGAGTCGCAGGTCCTTGACCTGGTCGGGTCTGTTTCCAAACACAGCAATCTTTTTTGCTTTTTGAACAATTCAAAAGAAAACTGAACTTATCCCAGAATTGAAGGCATCGTAGCATTTCCTGAGGGGATGACAAATTGCAGCAGCCTGCTGTCTGCCGTCGGAGACGCACGCTTCGAACTGGTAGCGCCGCCACCGTCGGCGGTGAAACTGTAAAACGCAACACCTGCTGATTCGAGTGCCCTGCCGAAATAAACGAGGCAAAAAGCACCAGAAAAATGCTCGCCCGGTATCTCCGCGAGGCAGGAGCCCTCAGTGCGCCTCCAAGCACGCGAATAAAGAAAATCGTTTTCCCTGTTTCTTTTTTTCCCTCCCCTCGCGAAAGTGGAACAAGGAAAGTTGTTGTGGAGGAAGGAATAAGTTTTCCGCCAGTTTGGGGCAAGCAGGTACTGCGCACACAATCTGTCTGCCGATTCACAACCATGTTTCTCCTTTTTTTGTCGCGTATGGTAAATTGTGCGACTGGCAGTGTCACGGAACGGGGTGGAAGTCCAGGTGGAAATAACCTCGACTTCCGGAAAGGTGTCTTTTTGCCAATTTCGAGGCAGTCAAGGGGGCTTCGAAACATACGAATGCCCGAATGCGACTGTGTCGTGGGAAAGGTCGATCGCAGTAACAACTGATGCAGAACTGTCTTGAACTTTTGACTAAAAACACAGGACTTTTGAAAAGGCCTTTGTAAATTTATTCAATTTGGTCCTTCTTGATGACTGCTTTGACGTTAGAAGTGCGCATTGGACACGCTAGGGGTGCTCCGCATCGCTCGGTGACTTGCACCAGCTGGTAACGCGGATCACACTGCCAAAAAACAACGAAAATAGTTCGGAACCAAGTTGCCGAGCTCGCCATCCTGATTTACTGCCCAGACGTGGAGCGAAACTGGACTGGGACGTGAGGCCAGGCAGCCCAAGTAAAATCCCGGACAACTATTATTATTGTTATTTGCAAAAGGGTCACAGCGGGGCGGACGTGCCTCCACGGGACCACCACGAAGCACGTTTTAGAAAAGGGTTCTCTGTCCGGGGCTCCGGGTTCGAGTCCCCCCCACACCGCCACCTCAACTAAAGCCATTAAATTCGTTGCAGCATCAGTCAAAGTTTGCCACCCCGTCTCCACTACACATCCCGCCGCTGCTACCGCAAGCATTTCCAATACGGAGAAACTTTCCCGCGCAAATTCAAAAGAAGCGTCGAAAAGCCTGCCACGTGGCATGTTTGCCACGCCTGCCAGTTCGGGGAGGAGGGGATGTGCGAAAGGGTGCCATGTTGATCATAACGTTATTTATTATTTATTTAAGAAAGAGGTCTGTTTTGAGAGGGAAGTTTCAAATGTTTTCTCGGCCTTTCAACCTTTGTTTGCGAAGAAGGCCTCCGTCGAGCCCGCTTCTCAGTCTCTGTCTTGTTTTGTTCAGAGCACTCCTCTCCGGGTGAGAAAGACAGCAAAGTGTTTCGTTCTCTCCTTTTTTTTGCCCGAACCTGACCCGCACCTCTATTGCTGCGAGGGGTAGTTTGTACGAAGCGCGTCTCGGAGAAAAAGTCAAATTAGGCCCTTCGCGCCACAACGGACGGCGACGCTCCGCGGGAATGGCTCAACAAACAACTTTCCTCTTTCGATTTGCATTGCGTACGCAGCGCGATAAAAGTTTGACTTCTTCTCGCCGCGATACACGCAGAGAATCGGTAAAGCGTGCTCTGCAAGGGTTCATTCACATATTGCGTAACGTCTTCTGTCGCTCTCGCACTCACTGGTAGTCCATACCTGCATCAAGAACTGTTTTTTGCGAGAACCATTACTACACTCCTTCGCATACTTCAAGAAAAACAAAAATCCGTTTGTTGACGTGGTGGTAATGTTGATTGCAGGAGGACCAGGACTGGCGTTTCGTCGCCATGGTGATGGACCGCCTCTTCCTGTGGATCTTCACGGTTGTGTCGCTGGCCGGGACCGTCATCATCTTGTGCGAGGCGCCGTCGCTCTGGGACGACACCAAGCCCATCGACACGGAACTCTCCAACGTCGCCCAGCAGCAGTACCTGCCCAACTTCGCCAACGACATGTCGCACGCCACGGCGGGCATTGAGTAATAGTGCTTCCCCCTTTATGTTTCGTCTCCTCCCCCCCCCCCTCCGAATCGCGATTCCCCTACCTTAAAAATGTTTTTAGTGATATGCCTCCCTCTACGCCGAGCTATCCCCTCCACGTCACATGTTCCCCCTCCACCGACGTACCGCGGCGCTTTCAGCCACCCACCTTCTCCCTCTACCCCGAAATTGCCCCCACCAAGGTGCGCCCCCCTCCCTCTTCTTCTCCCGCCTTCCACGCCCCCACTTTTTCCTCTCTGTCCCTTCCCCTTGCGATGCAGGGACAATCAAGGATTTCGCTCACGCCATATCGTAATCATCAATTTCATTTTCCCTGCTTTAAGTGGAGCTCAATCCTAAAGTGTGCCAAATAATGCAGAAGGCATGTTAAATTTCGAGTCAAGGGTGAAAATAATGAAAAAGTTTTGCTTCCCAGAAACTTTGTGCTGGGACTAAGGCATAAAAAAGAATGAATAAGCTCAAATAGCTTTGAAATATATAAACTTTAATCTTTTATGATAGACCGAAAATAAAATGTAAAATTAAAGTGGTACGCCTTAGCGTCTAATCGCCTTAAGACTTTTTAAATAAATTTAAATGAATTTGCTTTTAATGTTGTCAAATATAAATCTCATGCCAAACTTAGGTAAATTTACGCATTGATAACTAAAGCATTCTGTACTTTTTGCTGCATTCTTTTCTTTTCCTTTACACTTTTCTGGCGTTAGAAAATGGTAAAACAGTGATATTCATGTTTAAACTTAAAACATCAATTAGCAAGTCTAGCCTTAAACTTAATGATACGTAGGTGTGGAACGTTTAACACAGGGGCAGAACCCCAATCGAAAAATTGTTTTGGCCCGTTTGAAGAGGACGCCGACTGCTCATCTTTGTACATATGTAAAAAGAACAAAATTTTAGAGCATAATGTTTTAGACTGATTACGGTGCTCTGATTGTTTTGTTATGTTTTTATTGTTGATTTTTTTTTTCGGAATTTAGCGGCTGTGGCCGAGCCACTCGCCCACACGGTCGTGATACGCCAATGCACAGAGTATGTATCATCCAAGGCGTGTAATAAATGTTCTTTTCAGACAGTCTTTTTTTTCTTGGACTCGCCCCCGCCCTGCCCCTGGCTCGGCTCCCCACAGCCTGTTAGGCCCCCCACTCACAAAGGCCAGGGAAACGGGGCTCTTGTGGGGCTCTTGCCGGCGCCACGGGGTGCATTCTGGTGACCCGACTTCAGCTTCAGCCAGTGTGACCAGAAAGGACCGCGAGTACGCTCTCCAAACGAACAGCGCCGCGCCCCGCTGCGCGCTCACACGGCACCGTCCTGTCGTGACAACGATCGGTGCACTTGTCGGCAGCACTGGCGAGTCGTCTCCATTACTCCCAACAATGCAAGCGAAATATAATCAAGATGTAAACAAAACATGTGCGGTAACAGGAGACCGTGACAGGAAGGTTATAAATCAGTACAGCAAACGATGAGTTGTACTCTTTTTTCGAGCAGCTGGCGAGTTGAGATGGTTTTTTTGAGAGGGGTTGAAGTCTCTTTCCGGGTGCCATTTAATCCGCCGAGGTTCTAATACTGGTGGCTGTGGTTGTCTTTTTTTTTTTCATCGCCGCCTTTAAGTGAAATGCAGGCCAGGGGAATAAGGCCCCAATAAAAGGCGGCGGTAAGCACCCTTGATTGGGCCAGCGTGCCTGGAAATCCAATCCGTTAAGTATTCCTCTCTTGCTGGGAAAGTGCCAGCAGATCGGTGCCAGTCTCAATGGCCTCCCAATAACTACGCCAATGGCCGCCACCTCGCCCGTTCCATTCGCCACTGTTTATACGCCACCATCAGCCTTTATCTCCCTCTCTCTCGCTCATTTGATGTGGCGATCCCCACACGGCCGTTTGTTTAACCTTGCCCTCCCGAAATCTCTCCCTCTTCGGCCCTCTTCACGGGTGTCGCCCCTCGCCGGCCCGTCAGCCCGTCCGGGCGCTGTGGGCGAGTAGCAGCCCGCCGCACGCCTGGGTGGGTTTGCCTACCCTACCCCGCTCTCTTTCGTTGGGGCTCCTCAAAGCTTCAAAGTCTCCTGGCTTTTCTTTCTCTCTCCTTCTCCCCGGTGTTGGCGCACGCGAACTGAGAGCGTTTAGTGGCCTCCTGTGGGGTCATCCACGACCCAAGGGCTAAGCTACTCAGCCGCACACAGACTCCCTCCTCTCTCCTGACGGGCGATCCGCTCAATGAATCGAACAAAACTAAAAACGTCCAGGTTTTTCCTGGTTTTCCTTCCTTTTCTTTCGTAAGACGTTTGGAGTGCACCCCTGTGTCTCCTTGGGTGATGCGTAACTTATTTGAACAACAAGGGTGTTGTTGTTGTTGTTGTTGTTGTTGTTGACGCGTGCTGCTCGTCGTGCTCGTCCGACAAGATCCCTGCCTGTATCTCGTCCGACCGGGCCATCACTCAAGAAGCGAGCCAGGGCCCGCGGCCCCGCGCCGCCCTGCCGCGCCCGGCCCGGCCGCGCCGACGCAGTTTTTCGTTGTCTCTGCGATGAGCAGGGAGAGGGAGCGGAGTCCTCTCCGAGGACGGTGAAGGAGCGTAAACCACTTTATTTCGAGAAGGGTAGGGGATGGGGGATTGGGGCTGGCCTTGCCACGAGTCTGCGCCGCGAGGCCATGGGAGGCCACTCCATGACGCCACGCGCCACGCCATGAAAGGCCACACGCGCAATACCATGGCAGGCTTCTCCATGAGACAACGCACCACGCGCAGACCGGTGGAGGCGGCCGAAACTCTAGACGCGTCTTGAGATCCAGAGTCGCTAAATGAGACTTGAACTGGGCGTGTGACCCCACCAATGGATTCCTCGTTCAGAGAGGAATCCATTGGTGGGGTCACAAGTTCGTTTCGAGTCCCATTTAGCAACCCTGGAGCTCAAAACGCGTCCAAATCAAAGCTTATCCTGCACCAGAGTCCAAGGCGTGGAGCTAGAACGAGCGGATGCCGGCAGACACTACACTCCCCAGCGCTCCCTGGTGCGTGCGTGACGACCAATACCCTCAAGGAGCGGCTGGGAGAGGGCGGAGAGAGAGAGAGAGAGAGAGAGAGAGAGAGAGAGAGAGAGAGAGAGAGAGAGAGAGAGAGAGAGAGACCAGCCACCACGTGCGCGTCGTGCCCGTCGAGGTCCAGGACTACAAGCCGGGCTCCACTTCCTCCACCTGCTTCCGACGGGGACCTGTGCAGGGTGCCGAGCCGAGCAGCCGTGTCCGCCGTGTCGAGCCGCGTCAGTCCGGGCCAGGCCGAGCCGAGGGCCAGCCGTAGATTGCATTTCAATATTTGATGCAGACGGTAGCGGCCTCTAAGGACCCCGGCCCACCCTCCGCCTGCACTCTGGAGACCTCTGGCCCGGCGTGCAAAAAGGGGGCGGGGTAGGCGCCCACCCTGCTGGGTGCCGACAAAATATTATTTATTGCTCTTAATTCCCATTCTTTCGCTGTCTGTCCCAGGCGACACGCGGCTGGAGGGCACCGTGCGCACAGTGGGCCAGAAGACCGGTGGCGGCGGCTTAAACTCTAGGCGCGTTTTGAGCTCCAGTGTCGCTAAGTGGGTCTCAAACCGTAACGTGTTAACCGCCCTTGAATTCAATTCATTTACAATATTATTTCGGCCCCCGTTGTTGCACAGCGTGGGTGTGTGCGTGGTAGCGCTGCGTGTGTGCGTGTGTGTGAGCGGGAGTGTATAAGTGTGCGTGACATATGTTTGTGTGCGGCGCGCCGGATGGGTCCCACATGGTGGCGCATAGTGGCGCATTAGCCCACTGTGATGTGAGCAGGGAGTGACTGATTTATGTGCGAGCACGCACAAACTGCGTGTCTGTGAGAAACGTGTTCGCCTCGGCGGCCCCACTCGGCCCAGCCCCCGCCTTTCGGCTCAGCTCGGCCCGGCTCGGCCCGGCCTGGGCGCTAGACCTGTCCGTGCTACGCGAGCGAGCGTGTAACTGCAATCGGGAGCCCTTTTTTTTCAACGCAGTAACATTTTTCCGCCGTTTGCAAGACCCGGAAGAGACCGAGGGCGCCAGAATCACGGAATGCCCCGGTTTCATGCACGTGCCCCTAATAGTGGAAGGGAGAATGGAAAAAAGAAGGGGGAAAGGGGTGGAAGTCCACTTTCGTATTGAAACATTATTTGACATCTAATATTTTTCTTTTGTTGCGGCCCATGGTGTTTGGGGTGGGGATGTTGTATGCTCCAAAAGTCGTCCCTCGGCGTGTGTCTTGCCCAGCTCCCCCCCCCCCCCCCCCCCCCTGTCGCCTCGCCACCACACTTGAGGGAGGGCAGCGTCGTTCGGGCCCTCAGAGCGGCCGACCCTAACCCATGAGTTTTGCTCATACATAAACATACCCCGCCCCTCCCTGCAGCCCCCTCTGCCTCTTCCTCAATATTCCCAGATATTCCCTCTTTATTTCTGGGAGTTGACACACAACTCGGCGTGGCGTCCACGAGGCGGCCCTGCGTTCGTTGCAAAGGGGTTGTGCCAGCCAGTCGCGCTGCAGCGTCCAAGAGACTTTTTTTTATACATGGGGCGCAAGTTTACACACGCGAGCGTCAAGACTTATCCATAAACATGGCCGGAATTAGCAGTCAAATTCATTTTCGGCTCCCCTTGCTCGTTCTATTTTTTGGAAGCCGTGCTTGCTCTGCAGCCCGATAGTGTCGCCGGCTTCCCTGTGCGACTTTGTTGGAGTCCAAAATGAAAATCGGGTGGTGGTGGTGGGCCTCCGCTGGTCTTCTGGTGTCCTGTGCGCTGGACGCCTGTGAATGCGAGGATAGGCCAACCCGCCACACACCGAAGCGAAGGTTGGCCTACCTCGCAGGCTGGAGCTCAAAACTCACCCGGGATTTTGAACGCGGTCACCGATCTTCTGGCCCACTGCGAGTGGTCACCCACTCCACCTTCAAACCGCCACAATAACACAGCAGCTCGAGCAAACCGTCTGGCCAGTGCGCGGCAGCACACGAGCAAAAGACATTCCCGCGCACTCGCAGTCATTTTAACATGCGAAAGTGGTAATTCCCGTAATTGAGTTTGCAGTGTTGTGCGCAGCTGGCTGGCATGGCCATGCTGCATGGCTCGCGGCGGCGTGGCGGGCGAGGCGGCTATTGAGGGCAACACATGCACCGGGTGGCCCCCCGTGGAGAGCCGCCGTCGAGGGGCTGCTTCGCAACTTCGCAGCCCGCCACAGTGGGCCAGAAGACCGGTGGAGGCGGCCAAAACTCCAGACGCGTTTTTAGGTACAGAGTCGCTAAATCGGACTCGAACCTACCGCGTGACTCCACCAATGGATTCCTCATTCGGAGAGCAATGCATTGATGGGGTCACACGTTCGGTTTGAGTCCTGTTTAGCGACTCTGGAGATCAAAGCGCGTCTAGAATCTTGGCCTCCTCCACCGGTCTTCTGACCCACTGTGCGTCTCTCTCCCTCAGCCCTCCCAGGCCGGACTGTTGTCTCTCTCCCTCAGCCTTCCCAGGCCAGACTGTCGTCTCCCTCCGTCAATCTTCCCAGGCCGGCCGCTTGGATAAACAGCGCACGCAAACAGGGGGTGCCCGATTAGGGATACTGGAGGGCTTGCTCGGCTCGCCGGGGGCTCGACTGACTGCCAGGCCTGCTGGCCGCCAGGCAAATAAAAGGGCGGAAAACAAGACAACACTTTGATTTTTTTCGTTTCAGTAAGGTTTATTCAATAATAATTTATCTTAAAGTAGTGAAGGACAACACGGTTCCGGTTCGATGGCCGTCCGGCAGCCGCCGGTTGTTATTGGAAAGTAATTATGGAAGACTACACATCTAATTAACAGAGCGATATATAGAAGATAAGAGTGATAAAATCGGCAGAAACAAATAATTATACATGTCACTAGATATAGTAGTCCTAGAAGAATCACATGGTGAAAGTACTGGAGGACCGTTCTTGGACTTATTGTAATTATCTTAAAAACTAGCAACAAGAAATGACAACAATACTGTTGAATGAAACAAGTACGAACTCATTGGCAGTTACGGTAAATGAGTATTACACAGCAAAAAGTATCAGCAGTGACTTAAAACGATGATTGAGTGTATGAATTATTAAGAACAATGTTGAGCACAGTACTTATTTTCGTACGAAACACATTCCACCGACTCTGGTTAAAATGGTAGGTACTTGGGTATCCGCAGAAATTACAATTAAACCCTACCTCACCCCTCCCAAGTAAAGCTAAAGAAAGAAGAGCACCTTCATGGGCATATACAGAAACATTGAAAAAAAATCGATACCCCCCTGCAACAAGCAACTATCTACGCCCACTGTCTCGATAACCGACTATCTACGCGCGCTCTCCCGACAACCGGCTATCTACACGGGCTTTCTGGATAAACGACTATCTGCTTTCTCCACCTCGCGAGATTGAATGCTTTTATTTATCCAACCAATTAAGTTGCCCTTTCAAAACCTTTACCAAAACTTGTCAAAAGTTTGTCAAAGCAAGATTAAGTATGGTTTAAACGGGTCGCTTTAAGTGTCATGGAGAAAAATACTTCGTTATACGACAACCCTAACCTCGCTACGATGTTGGATAGTCGGTTATCCAGACAGCCCATGTAGATAGCCGGTTGTCGGGAGAGCGCCCGTAGATAGTCGGTTATCGAGACAGTGAGCGTAGATAGCTGCTTGTTGCAGGGGAGTATCGAAAAATCTTTAAGGGTTTTTAACAATATGTGGAATCATGATTGCACCATGTTCTCAGTGCAGGGGTTCTGGTCAGAGTGCGCCCAGGAGGACTGAGCTGGGCTCTACCACGCGTCTGCACGCTAAGACTTTTTTCAAAACCACGACGGAATTCCGTCGAAGATACGACATGTCAACATATCCGTCGATCTACGACGTGTAGCACGTCGTTGATCGACGAGCAGTGGCGCTCCTTGCGTCACATTTTGGAACTATAGGCGCTGGCGTGACGAACGAGCCAGCCAGCGGCGACGAAGGATCAGTGTATTTTCAAAACTGTTAAAATTGACTTTGCATTACAGAAACGGATTTGTTTCAACAAGACAAACTAAAAAGGTCAACACATTTCATAGGTTTGGATGCACAATGAAAAAGTTTTTGAATTTTAAAGTACTAAAATGGCCAAAAAGAACCATTTGTCACTTAAAAAATTCCATTTCTCATCCAAATCTATGACATGAGTAAACATTTTATATTTGTCTTGTCAACGCCTACCTATTTTTGTAAAGTGATGTCAATTCGGACAACTTTCGGATTTTCAAGCTTCTGAGCATTTGGCCAAGATGTACCTATTCTAGGTATTGAATCTTTTTCATGCAAAAAAGGGAGGAAGGCTTACGGTTTCCAAAGGCTGCAATTGCGTTTCTAAATAAGTAAGATTAGCTCTTGGGAAAGCTTTGAAAAGTCCGAAGTGATAGTGTTGTGAAAACAAAAATGAGCTCGATAAATAAAAACTTTTGCATTTTGATGAATAATGCGGTTTTTCATTTGCCTCAGATCTTGAAAGAAGTTTGTTGGCGTAAAAGTAGTCAATCAAACAAAGTGCTACAACATGAAGTGAAATCCAAAGAAAAAAGGTGGTTCTCCTAGGAAAATATCTCATATGCTTATACTGTACGATACCCAAATTACATTAAAATGGTCACGATTGGACTAATCTGCTGTCAGGTCACTCCGCAGAGGATTTTTGTGACTTATCACTTTCCGCTAAAATGGAAAACATAGTCATCTCAACCTATATTTTTTAAATGAAGTGGAATAGACCCGTCAACTGGAACTCAGCATAAAGTGTTTGTTACTCGGATGTAATTTTTAGACTTGGATCTTTTTTCCATTTAAGTTGTTAAAATGAAGGGGGCTTAAGTTGACTTGATTCTTTTCACAATAGGTTCATAAAAACACAAGTTGAGTTATCTCCTATCGACAATATATTCAACGCAGTCATGTTGGCTTTGGTTGAGTTGATTCTATTTTGCGCTAAATTGAGACTGTAAAAGGTGTCAAGTTGAATTGTATCCTTTCTCCACTTGCATTTTCTCCTTACCTACTAGGAATTAAGTGAAATAATTTGTTTCTACGGTAGATATTCTGACAAGATGAGGATTCAATTTTCAGCTTTGTAGGCTTCGTTGTAACTTCGCTGAGTTCAGTCAATTTTCAAACTCAATCAAATAGGCATCACCTTACAGATTTAGATTTGTCTCAAGAAAACAAACAAAAAATGCCAATACATGTTATGGGTTAAAGTTGAAAATAAAAGAGTTATTGGATTTTTAGAGTGCTAAAATGGTCAAAAAGACATTTGAAGTTTAATAACTCTTTCATTTTTCATTTTAACCCATAACATGTGTTGACACTTTTTGTTTGTCTTCTTGAGACGAATCCAAATCTATAAAGTAATGTGTGTTTGGTTAAGTTTAAAAATTCACTCCAGGCGCTGTCCTGCGAAAGTCCGCCACTTTCGAAGGTCGACGCTCGTCGAAGGTCGACGCTCGTCGAAGCTCGACGTGTCTGCACTGGTGGGGAGCTATGCTTCGATCTACGACGAAGCTTCGACGGAATTGCTTTCGAACTTCGACGTGGCGTTGCAGTTTTCCGTCGAAGGGGGCGATTTCCGTCGTGAATACGAAAGAACTTTTCGAAAAAAGTCTTAGCGTGTGGCCCACTGTGGGGCGGCGCTGCTGAACCCACTTGCCCACCACGGTGTGTTATCTGCGGATTCCGCCTCGGAGCGCGTGTCACATGCACCCTAACGAGATGATGGGCCAGCCATCACCAACTTCCTCTTATTTCCTCTGCGTCTCTCTCTTGTGTCTCTACAGCGTCGTCGCAAGTAGTAACCATGCGACTTCGCCGCCGAACGCCTTGTTCTTTCAAGCTCTCACCCATTCCCCCTCAACGGTTCACCTAGTAAGTCCCAGCATGCACAGGAACATGTTTTTCTTTTCAACGAACATCGAACATGAATCTCCAGGACGTTGTCATCCCAGTTTTCAATCCACGGTCAGTCGGCCTGACCATCCAGTCAGTCTTTTTGTCTGCTCGTCTTTGCCGCAGTAATGCTGGGCACTTCGACAGCAGACCCGAACGAACTCAGTGCACACATGGTGGCTACCTTGACATGGTGGTGGCCACCTTGAAATGGTGTTGGCCACCTTGACGGTGGTGGTCACCTTGAAATGGTGTTGGCCACCTCGACATAGCCGCCTACTCCGACATGATGGTGGGCGGCCTGGGGGCGTCCTCCGGCACCTGGAAGTAGTGCTTCCTCAGCGGGATGCTGGACTGGATCTGGTCGATGGGGATGCGCGTGTCGTAGAGGGACGGCGCCTGGAAGATGATGCCGGCCGTGCCGCCGACGCAGGCCATGGTGAAGATGATGAGGAACAGACGGTCCAGCACCATGGAGATGTACTTCCAGTCCTCAACCACCTGCACCCGGAAAACAGAGGAAGCAACAATTTAAACATTTTTCTTCTAGACTATTTAAAATTTGTGACTTTTCTGATAGTTTTGTCTCTCCGCTCAGACTCAAATCGTGTTGAACACTGCCTCCCATTACTCCCTTTAAGAGACATCACGTGACATTGTTGACAATTTCACCATCATAGAAAAGAAAACGGAGTATCCAGCCTCAAAGTTCACAAATAAATTCATTTAGGAAGCCACTTTTAGCTGTCATTTTTTTTTGTTCCCTGAAGGTGACTTTGCCGTGTTGTGCTATAGGGGACGGCGCCTTGACAAGATCTAGACTCCGCCGCCAGGATTGGCCGAAGTTGCGGTTTTCTGTGGGCACGCCAAAGCAATTCTTCACATCTCATTTTGCCGCCGCCCCCTGCTGGCCCCCTGCCGGCCCCCTGCCCGCCCCCCAACCGTTCGGGGCTCTTGCGGCGACACAAATTGAGGACCGCGGCGAGAACGGCGGCTCAGGCCCGGCCAGCACTGCGCGCCGCGCGCCCCAGAGGCCTGTTTGCAGAGAATCTCCTGTTTGCAAAGAAATGGCTGGTTTTAACGGCTAGCTGAGACATGCCTTAGTACTGAACCAAGTCCTCGCTGAGGGCCCCCCCCCCCCTCTTTTCTTCTTGACGTCTGCGTCTTCTCACTTCTGCCCTCTCCTTGCTTGCCACAGCACAGAGCGAAAGTCCTGCACCCGTTTGAACGCGGTAGGCTCCTTTCCGATTCAACTTTTTGTGGCGAGACGCAGCCACTAACATCCATTCCCGGCGTCCGTTCCCCGCGAGGCGGAGCTCTCCGTCCTGGCGGCCAGAGAGGGCCGGAGTGGAGCGGAGGTCAAAGTGGGCCGGGCAAAGTAAAAAACCGCCAGAAAGGCGGGCAATATGAGGAAACGGCGAAGGGAACCGGCGAAAACTGACTGGCTGATCAAGAAGACTGCAATTTATGGCGAGGGTGGTTGGCTCAGCGCGGCTCGGCGCCGGCCCAAGCCCCGCTCGGCACGGCCATGGCACGGCCACGGCACGGCCCGCATCCCCGCCGTGACAGGGAGTGATATCGGAGCCGTCACTAGATGGGGATCTAATAAAGCAGTCTTGACAGCGCGGCGCACTCCGTCCGCCTCGAGCTCCAAACGGCGCCGAAATGATTGGCCGTGTCGTGACGACGCGCTGCGTGACCATCACGTCACGTGGTCACGGAACGTGTCACGAGCCGTGTCACGAGCCATGTCACGGGAGTGGCCTTTGATAAATCACCACTTTGAGCGCGTCAAAGATTCCGGTCGGGGCGAGTCGCGTGTCGCCAGTCCTGTCGCTCAGCGGTCTGTGATCGACGGGGTGGGCACGCCCGCCACACGGGGCTGCCAGCCGGGTGGCCTGCTCGCCCCGCAGTGGGCCAGAAGACCGGTGGAGGCGGTCTGAGCGTTTCTGAGCTCCAGAGTCACTAAACTGCACTCGAACTGAACGCGTGACCCCACCAATGGATTGCTCTCTCAACGAGGAATCAATTGGTGGGGTCACACGCTCGGTTCGAGTGCAGTTTATCGACTCTGGAGCTCAAAACGCGTCTAGAAATTTTCCCGCGTGCGCCAGTCTTCTGGCCCACTGTGTGGGTGTGCCCCGCACTCCTAGCCAATCACAGCCGTTGTAATGGCGGGTCCCTCTCTGCCCCCTTCACGGCGCGGTGCGGCGTGGGCCACTTTGCCAATATTGGCCCGCACGCCCCCACACACGGCGTGTATTATGCAGATCGGCAAAGCAGCCGCGCCGACCGGGTCGCTTTAGCGCGCTTTAGCGTGGCATGACGGCTGCCGAATGGAATGACCTTTCATGCAGCCACATTCGCGTCCGCCCGCCCGCCCTTTCTTATCCGTCTGTCTGTCTGCCTGCTTGTCTGTCTGTCTGTCTGTCTATCTCTCTGTCTGCTCGACTAGGGTTGTCCGTCTGGACACCTGTCCTCTCAGTCCATCAGCTCGCCCGTCCAATTTTGAGTGCATGATTGAAAGGTGCCGGCCGATCCGTGGTGATGGGGCCGGGGCCTCCGCCCTTGCACAGCATGCACCTCGAGGGGCGCCTGGCCACCTACACTGTGGGGCGCAGACCCTCTCCTCCTCTCTCCCTCACACACACTTTTTCTGTCTGTGTCTGTCCCCCCCCCCTCTCTCCTAGCCGCCCCTCCCCTCGTCTTCCGGGGAGAGCTTGCGAAGTGCCCCCGAATCAGGTTTCAGCCAATTCTGACATCCTCGCCTCCACACCTCCGGACGGGCCGGGCCCCGCTCGGCCCTCTGATTCCGAAGGACTCACTCGGTCTCTCTCGCACTCACGGGGCGCTCCCACGAGTGCGAGAGAGACCGAGCGATCCTTCGCGGAGTCGGATGGCTGCAGACAGGTATAGTGTGGCGCGGCCCGCCCCACCTTGACGGCCCCGACCCTGGGGCCTATCTCGGGGGCGATGAGGATGCCTCGTCAATGTATATATACAGACCGGGAGCGACGAGATAAAGAGAGAGAGAGAGAGAGAGAGAGAGAGAGAGAGAGAGAGAGAGAGAGAGAGAGAGAGAGAGAGAGAGAGAGCGAAATGGGGCTCAGGTAGACTTTGCAGCCAAGGCGACGACGACTTGACGAGGGTGAAAAAGTTTGGACGCTGCCAAAGACTAGTGCTGAGCCGGGCGGCCCGCGACGGCCCCGTGGCCTTGGCCACCTTGGCCGCCTTCGCCCGTCAGCGGCGTGATTCCAACCAGTGCTTTCGCACAGTGGGCCACGAGACCGGCGCAGACGGCCAAAACTCTAGTAGAGCGCGTTTTGAGCTCCAGAGTCGCTAAATGGGGTCGCTAAAAGCGGTTTTTGCCACCCCAACCGGTCTTCTGGCCCACTGTGTGACGGCGGCGGAGGCCCGACCAAGTTGTCACTCTCTGCCGCTTTCTGCAGCGCTTCAAAGCAGCGGCACCTGCATTCGGGCCCCGCTTGGCGGCGGGCCGTTTAAAAGGAACTGGCTGCTTTTGGCGGGGCCGCCCGCCGGGCAGGCGATGCGACGCCCCCCCCCCCCCCTCCCTTTCCCCCTCCCTCCCCCTTTCCCAGAGAAGGCCACTGTTTCAGCCCCGAGGCCCAATCCCTGCCTACCTAAGCCCGACCCCCGCCGCCGCTCCGGGGGGCAGGGGGGTGGGGGCGTAAAAAATACGGTGGGGACGGTACTGGTGCATGTCCCGGGGCAGCGTGGCGTGGCTTGGCCATGGCGGCAGCGCGCGGAAGAAGCGATAAATTAAATTCCCCTGTCCGAAAAGCAGTTACGCCCTGAAGGCAGCAGCCCCCCCTTCCCCCCGCTCCTTTTTCCCGCCGTTTTTCCTCCTCATCTTGACGAGCAGGTAAAGAGGCCACTTTGGCGGGCTGCAAGCGCGATTCGGCGCAACTGTCTCTCTCGCACTTCATGAAGCCCGCCGTAAAAACCGTTGGGTCGCGAGAGAGACAGAGAGACGAAGAGGCCGTACAGCCCGACGCTGTCGTCCCCGACGTGTGATGTGAACGTAGGCGATCCCGGGGCGTTACCGATTCGAGGGGATTTTAAACGGGGCTTGTTCCCGTTGTCCTGGACTTGGCACTAATTGTCCGGGGATTCACAGCCACCTGCACTGCTAATCGATATCCAGGACACCGTTCCGGAATCACCGGTCGGCCGCACAAAAACAACCGCACCGGCCAAAGACACAAAAAAAAGAAGGGACCTATCAGCGCTCGGCGGAACAGCCGAACTGCCTATACAGCCGGCACATTTTGTATTGTTTTTTACATTTTCTTTTTTTTTACGTTTGTTGATGCGAAGAAACGAGGTGAGAGGTTTTCGTTTTCTCGTTTTCGTTTTGTTTTCGCGTTTTCGTCTAAGCGTTTTCGTTTTCGCGTTTTTGTTTTCGCGTTTTCGTTTTCGCGTTTTCGTTTTCGCGTTTTTGTTTTTGCGTTTTCGTTTTCGCGTTTTCGTTTTCGCGTTTTCGTTTTCGCGTTTTCGTTTTCGCGTTTTCGTTTTCGCGTTTTCGTTCCTCTGGAAGGAAGGAAGAATAGTGGGACACAGAGACAAGAGAGAGAGGTAGGGAGGGAGGGAGGGCCACTCACCTCGTTATCCTTGTCGGCGTCCTTGATGTGCTGCGCGATGAAGCAGACCCCTTGCAGCGCGGACAGGACGTCCGGCGACATGGTGCGGGGGATGATGTTGTCCGAGTCGGTCACTGCAACAAAGTGTGGCGGGGCTATCAAACAGCCGTCAGGCCCATCATTCTCCAGTTTTCCACCTTGGCGCTGCCGCCGGCCCCGCTCGGACGCGAGCCGTCAGGCCCATCATTCTCCAGTTTTCCACCTTGGCGCTGCCGCCGGCCCCGCTCGGACGCGGAGGAGAGCGAGATGTAAAGACGCCCGGGAAGGGACCCTCGCGTCACGAGTTTAAAAAAACGATATCGTAACGAACGACCGAATGGAAGAAAGATCGGGGCGTTGTCCGTCACCATGCCGCCGCTTTCGGTTTATAAAGTTGCCACCTCCCCGTAGCGCGAGCAGCCACACGGCCGTCCAAGAGGCGATCCACATCAGCAGACGGCTCCCGACAAGTGGCAACCCTACGCGGCGGCAGCGGCGGCCCCGTGATGCGATCATGCCGCCTCCCTCGAGCTCAGTAGTTCTCATCTCGCGTTATTTCAGACGCACTCGCCATCACCGAGCTAAGCGAGGCTCTTGAACCGCAAGCCAAGTCTCCGGAGCACCCTCCCCGCCCCCGTCCTTCCCCCTCGAGAGAGATTTAAAGGAGTGTCGACGGCCCTGGGAATGGGACTTGCGGGAAGTGGAATTGGTCGCCCGCGTGCTCTGGGCCGCTCTGCGCCGCTCTGCGCCGCTCTGCGCTCGGTGCCCCTCGCGCCTCAAACTGCAGCACTGCAAAACGCGTGCCGAAACAGAGTGGCCCAGAAGACCGGTGCAGGTGGTTGAAAATCCGAGACGCGTTTTGGGCTCCAGCGTCGCCAAATGGGACTCCAAACGAACGTGTGACCCCACCAATGGATTGCTCTGCGAGCGATGAATCCATTGGTGGGGGTCACACGCTTCTTTCAAGTGCTGTTCAGGGACTCTGGAGCTCAAAACACGTCGAGACTTTTGGCCAACAGAGTGGCTGCGGGCGAAGCGGGGAAGCGACGGCGCGCAGAGCCGCGTGGGTTTTGCTTGACAAGCGCCCGTTCATCCGTGAGATTTCTTTTGGCCTCGCCGACCAACTTTTTTTTTGTTGCGGAACAAAAGTTAGCGGAAGCCAATCAATTCCGCGAAAGTGGGGGCAGGATCAATCCGTGCAGCTAAAGTGCGAGCGGAAGGCTCTTTGACCACCTCGGCTCGCGTGTTCCTTTCCTTCCTCTCGCTGCAAAACGACAAACTCACTTCGATTGCCCAGGTCTAAAACCCTTGCCCACAGCGGATCCGCTTAGTCTTTCGGGATCCACTAAGGTCGTAGGGGACCGCTATGCTCTTAGGGATCCTCTAGGGGGCACAGTGGATCCGCTTTGGCCGCACCGGACCCTCTACGATCCGCTAAGGAAGGATCCGCTGAGGCTATTCAGGATCCGCTCTGTACAGGCCTCAAAAGCCATACCGGATCCACTACCCATACCGGATCCGCCAGCTCTACCGGATCCACTAACCTCAGCGGATCCTCTCGGTTTTCCAAAAAAAGCGGCTATAAATCGAAATTTTTTGGTATTTTGACCTAAAAATTGGTACGGGGTTTTATTGATGAGAATTCACTAGGGCCATTTCAATATCTTTGAAATTCAACAACATAACTTCGCTATTTTTAAAAACCGCCGATGATAGCGAAAAACGGATTGCAGATTCGGATCGGACTCGGTTTCATTAACCCGAAACCCCCTTTTTAGAGTTAAAATTTTTTAAAGGATCCACTAAGATCATACAAATCCGCTAAGGCCATCCTCTGTGGTTACCGTATCCGCTATTTGAACCGGATCCGCTATGTTGACACCCGGGTCCGCTGTGGTGACCACCGGATCCGCTATAGTGAAAACGGATCCACTTTGGGCACACCGGATCCGCTTTAAAGGGGGAAATTTTAATCCGGTAAGAAAAGGATCCGCGCCAACCCCCCGGATCCGGTTCGATACAGGATCCTGTATGAAATCGGATCCGGTGTGTGGGAGCGGATCCCGTTCTTACCGGATGTGAAATTTACCCCCTTTGTAGCGGTTTTCAGACCTGGGTGGGACTGACGGGGAGTCCTTCGGCCTCCACCTGGCGGCCGGCTGCGCCGAGAACATTCGCCATTTCATGGGGAGCCAGTTTTGTGACCTCTCCTTGTTCTTTCACTGCGTCCGAGCTGTGCACGATTAAAACCTGACGAAATATTTTGAGTACATGGAAGGTACAGTTCGAACGCATTTTCATCAGATGGAATTGCTCTCAACTATTGCAATGTCATCTCTTGATGTGAGACTTATGCTTCCACATTTTGAACTTATTTCTTTCGCAGTGCCTAAGGCATGACCGTTTGTGCTGCACGTCGCTAGGAATGACGTTTTAATGAAACAAAGCGCAGAGTGCAGGGCCTCGGCGATGTGGGCCAATGAGGTGAGGGGAGGGGGCTGGATCCACCACATGACGAGAAAAATGACATTGTCGACAAGGCGGATGGGGCCAAAATGGGGAATGCAAAGTAGAGGCCATTCAGAAGGAACGGAGCTGCGAGATTGGAACCAGATAAGCGAAGGAGGCAGGGAGGAGGGGGGGGGGGGAGGGGAAAATGGACCCGACCCACGGCACGCCGAGGCGGAGGTGTCGGGGACAAGGCGAACAGAGAGAATGGAGGGGAAGAAGGAGTTCCGTGACACGCTGTAGCGCTAGAAGCTACACTGTTGAAACTAGGGGTACGCGCCGTTTTGTGTGGGCGCGTAGTGTGGCTGAGCGATGCGAATTTGTGCACTTCGGACTGCAGCTTGTGGGCTCATATTGAGTGAAATGTAGGTCTGGGGTATAAATGGGAGTGATTTTTGTTATCGGCACACAAAAAAACTGCTGGGATCAACGTCAAACTCGGTTCCAAAATTTTGGTCCAAAATTGGTCAAAATTCGGTAATGCGTGAGTCTGTGAAAAATTTGGAAGTCATTTTTGAGCTCAGCGCACCAAAAACTGCAGGAAACAATAAAAAACTTGATTTGAAAATTTTGGTCCAAAATGACCTAACTTGGGATGAAAATATAAGTGTGGAGTCGAAATGGAGGTGATTTTCGTTATCAGCACACAAAAAACTGTTGGGATCAACATCAAACTCTATTCAAAAATTTTGGTCCAAATTTGGTCGAAATTGGGTATGGCGTGAGTCTGGGAAAAATTTGGAAGTTATTTTTGAGTTCAGCTCATCAAACACTGCAGGAAACAATATAAAACTCAACCTGCAAATTTTGGTCCGAAATGACATTTGAGATGAAAATATAAGTCTGGAGTAGAGATGGAAGTGGTTTTCATAATCAGCACTCCAAAAACTCCAAGAATCAATATGAGATTCGATTGAAAAATATTCATATCAAATTGATCAATAATGGGTAAAGAATGGGTCTGGCTTGGTCTTCATGGATCACCCTTTGTCGTCACCAATACCCTAATGCCACACCAATGCGATTCCTTCAGTCGAGTAACATTCCATTGCCAGCATTGAATCGCTTAATTAGCTACTCGTCTGCTTGACTCACTATTCGATACATCTTTTTCTTCAAACTAATGAATTCACAAATTTATTAGTTATATCTGAGAAGCCTTTTGTCATTCTTTCATTTAAAACCAGTGAATTAAACAATATAGACTGGAATATGTAATCATAGTTTTTATTAAGTGACTCAGTTTAGGGCAGGCTCATCTGAAGCATTCGACGGAGAACAAGTTTTGTCAAATTCAGTGAATCGTCTCATGAAGTCAAATGCAGAGGCCACTTGTTGCTCAATACGCCAACTTAATTTACCTTATTCATGCCTCGTGATATTTTATCTTTAGAGTAAAAGAATACAGTATAGTATTAACATTGGGCTTACATTCAGAAAGCCAGCTTTTAAATCATTACCAATACTTGGTTCCAGTTGTCGGACACAAGCTTTGGTGAAGTGAAAGGAATCGTCCCATTAAAAGCAATTACCAAGTCACCCACCGCTCAAAACCTGAATCGTCTCATTGAACCCAATATCAGTTCAAAATCTGTTAGCACTAAATATATGGACTATTTATTGCACAAAATACATCTATTTATGGATTCTTTTAATCAATAGATGTAAGTAAGAATATTTATGTTAGCTTGCAGCATTGCAATAGAGTGTCATTTCCCCGAGACAAACCAAGACAATTAACATGTCTTCAAATTTCAACAGAAGTTATTCATGCATTTACCTGATTTTATTTACTATGAAATTTAAAAATTAGGATAGTATCAGAGAGAATAAAATCAGTAGATGCACACAAAGGCAAAGAAAACATTCTATTTACAATCCACAACTACACTCAGTGCACTGACCTGTTCCCCTGTGACGGGGGAGGGGGAAGAGGGGAACGAAACACGTAAACCATTCTCACATTTACTTTTCGTATTTTCCTCTGTTGACACCCCGGAAGGGTTTCAATCATTCTAGAATGTTAAAAAACTATCTCAGTACCTATTTGAGAACCCCTTTGCTCTTTAGTTTGTTTATTTGCATAAGTGCCGTCTCGTCTTGCAGACGGCTTGCAAGCGCGGCAGCCGGTATGAGAATTTGGTCAGCCACACACTGCTACCAACCTAAACAGGCTAATTACCTAGTTCAAAATGATGTTTTGAATATTTCAAACGATGATAATTGTTAATCTGAGATAAACTCCCCCTGTAGGATGTTTAGGAGACATCAGGTGTGAAATTTGGATACTATTCGTTCAGTAGTTGCTGAGAAACGTGAGTGATTACATACAGACAGACAGACAGACGCACGACCAGTCACTTTTCGGAGCGCCCAAACACGGCAAGGGCTTCGCTATCGCTCAGCCAATAAATTATTAATTCATCGCAGCGAGATGGGGCGAGGGGCGGGGTAGGCCCCATTCAGGGTGCGGGGCCGTGTGGGGCCCCGGGGTTTCCTCCACCATTTCCGGTATGAGGAGGGGGATCCGTACAAAGGCAATGGGGCTTAAACACTTGCCTCCCCCTTGCCTCCGCACCCACGCAAACCCACAAACACACACACACACACACACACACACACATACAGAGGGGCGCGCGCGTGTGACACGGGGGGGGGGCATAAAAGAAAGTCGGGCCGTTGATAAGACAGGGGCAAGTGGTGCAAAAATTTGGGTCGGGCGGGTCATCTATGCAGTGTTCCGTGTTTCTCCGGGAATGGAAAGTGGGGTGTCTTCTGGAGGTTAGGTTCGTAAATTCCAGCTGCGTATTTTTACAGTGCTATGCACCACGACCAAGGCAGCCGGCAGCAGGAAAAATTTACAGACGCCTTTTTGGGTGGCTGCGTTTAGAAGGTCCCCGAGGACAGCAGCGGGACACGCTAGACTCCTCGCCACGAACGTGAGGGTCTCCGCTTGTCCGGAAAGGAGGGGGGGGGGGCGTAGCCGGCGAAGTATGCGGATAACCCTGAAGATGAGACCGGGCCGCTGCCACCTATGTCACGCTGTATGGGGGCATCCGGGTGAGAGCCCACACTGCAGCCAGCCTGCACGCCTGCAGAATGATTCCGGGAATTCGTCGCTCTGTCTCTCTCGCACCCAGAAGGGCCGTCCCACGAGTGCGAGAGAGACAAGCGCGACGAGAACGACTCTCGGAGTGTAGGAGCAGCCAGGCGCAGCTCGCAAACAAGGTCGCTGCCGGGCAGCCCTCGCCGTACCGATGGCGGATCCGGAGCGGTTCCGAGAAGACACCCCCCCCCCCCTCTCCACCCTACTCCAGGGAGATGGGGGAGTTGTGAAAATTGGCTATGTATTCACGGAAGGGAATGAAGTTTGTTCTTGCAGATACCTTAAAAATGGCAGGAGGGTGTTACGTAATAATAACTTCAGCACCTCTCGATCGCACCCTTTTACAGCACGCTGTCTGCTATCTCGATATTGAGTCAAATAACAGTCGCCTTACATTCATGTAAATTTCTACCGAAAATCCTTCTGAATCGTTAAATGATATATGTTGTCCTTCCGCTAAAAATCAAATTTTCATCAAAATAAAATTAAAGGAATCTTCATGGTGGGAATTTGAAGGGGTGCTGAGTGGGTAACCTTTCGGCTGGCCTCAAAAACCCTTGAATCGTACGAAGTTGGCCTGCTTGCGCACTAACCAGTACCTAAATTGGCCGGATGGTATCGCCCCCCCCCCCCCCCCCCCCCCTCTTACCACCCCGAGCCCCATCTGGGGCGCACCCCTCGCATCAGTGATGCCAGGCGTGGCGAGATACCAGGACGTACTCTCTGGGAACATCGCCACTGGTACCGGACCCCGGACCCACACGGGGCCTGCGGCAGGAGCTCCCAAAATTGACGTTTCGCTGTGGAGCAAAACTCGAACCCATGTTTCCCTCCCTGGCGTCCACTCCGTGCAAACCACGCTCGTTCGTGGTTTGGCAGTGGAGCAATTACAGGTTGATAACAAAAGCATGCTTCACAAGTAGTTCAACAGCAACAACACATTGGCACTGTCATACACTACGAGAGAAAAACAAATGCGGTGACCAACAAGAAACTGTAAGAACAAATACGCCATGAACGGCACGAAAAAAATCGAATACAAGAAAAGACAGGCGAGATAGAAAGGGAAGAGAGAGACATAATGAAAAAGAGTTTGTACGTATTAAGGTGCGACATTATACACTGTACACAAAAGACAAGAGAAAATGCGAATGCCGGGCAAGAGAATACGCAAAAGAGGTGATGGTGAAATAGTAATAATAAATACGAAGAAGGAGCAGGAAAAGGCCATGGCAGTGTTGCCACGTCGCAGCGAGGAAGCGCGGCAACACTGCGAGCCATACAGTGCCATAGATGCCATACCGAAGACTCCATAAGGTGCCAGAGAGAGATGCCGGACGACGCCAGAGTGTGCGAGAGAGACGCCGTGTCGCCACAGCCGCCGGCCAGAGCGGCCAGCCGGACTATGCCAACTACGCTAGGCGACGCTAGATGCTCTAAAGACGAGAGTGGTAATCGGAACAGACAAAGCGTTGCTCCAAAAAAAGGGGGCGGGTACCGCTGCAGCAGTGACGGGACACGCCGCAAGTAAGGCAGAGAGAGAAAAACAAACGACTACCTACCAACTAGAGGTGCTTCACAGTTATAATACAGCGCGAGGGACAGAGGCTCAAGCCGAGTCAAAACAAAATCAGAGACCCGCACGTTGCCCCCGTTCGAGATAGAATGAGGCCGTGCCGCGTAGCCGCGTACTGAAAGGTGTACCAAAAGTGTACCAAAAGTGTACCAAAGGAGTGCCACAGCGGCACGAGGTACCTGTGAAGGGGCTGAGGTCGGGGTGGTGATCCCAGGCGTCGCCCACGCCGGCGCCACAGCCTCTGTCCAGGACGGGGCTGTAGCCTGCAACGCAACACTCATCACTCAAACACAGCGCAACAGTTGGCCGCGTGTGTGTGTGTGTGTGTGTGTCTGTGTGTGTGTGTGTGTGTGTGTGTGTGTGTGTGTGTGTGTGTGTGTGTGTGTGTGTTTTGAGGTGCGTCCGTGTGCGTGTCAGTCTGTGTCGAGCATTGTGTCTGAGGGGTGGCATTGTAGGGGGTGATTGTGTGCAAGTCGCCCGCGCATGCCTGCGTCAAATTCCACGCAAGCGACTAACTGTGTGTTTCAAGAGTTCGACAAGGGCCTGCTGCTCCGTCGTTGAAATGCATCACGAGCCAAGCAGAGTGGGCCAGGAGGCCGCTATGGAAGCGGCCAAAACTCTAGAAGCCTTTTGAGCTCACTAAACCGGTCTTCTGGCCCACTGTGCAGCGTCGAGGCCACCGGCGGCCCGGCCAAAATCTGGCGCGCACGGGATTGAAAGGAAAAAGTTCGAACAAAAGACCCGACCCGGTACGGGGCGCACCCTACCCGAAGTCATGGCGGCCGAAGCCCGTATACTTTCGGCGGAGTGACCCAGTTGGCTGTCTTTGGAGAAGTGGTGTTCTTACTGCCGCAGTTTGCCGGCCGCGCGACGTACGGCTCACGCCGCGAACATCCCAGACGGCGTCAAGCTCCTCCGGAGTGATGTGTTTTCCGTGTTTCTGTACATACGGGAACATTACTTTCTCCCTTTTTCGCCGACTTTGTTATTATTGCTGTCTTCCTCGTCGCCGTGGCAACGCGCAAAATAACTGCAGTAAAGGTTGCGATTAAAGCGATTAAAGTTACGAGCCATAAAGCCGAAATCATTTCCTTTCGTGATGAAAATCGGGCGTCGCCCGTAAAACGGCAAAGTTTCGAGGCGATAATACGACTACGGCCTCACCTCTGCAGGTAGGCTGCCCCACCGTGCCAAGACACGGCTTGTACACTGTTATTATTGGCTTGGTGTTATTTCCCAGCTGAGCTCAAAACTTTTAGAAATCACGCGAGTAACTCATAAGTGTGTCTATGTTTTTGGTTTTAACATGCTAGTGCGGTAATGTTGAGCTGGAGTTTTTTGTTTAGAAAACCGCGCTCTCCTACGTCTTTGCAGGCTTTCCTGAAACAGCTCTGGAGCGCAGACCTGTGATGGTGAGAAGAAAGCTGGAAGACACTCCTGCAAGAAAACTATACCCTTCATGGAGCTCGACTTCAAGCCATCCTTCGACCACTTATTTCAGCTCAATATGGAAATCTGAGAGTAAACTCTCCGTTAAATGAATGTTGAGGTCTGTCCAGTGGCTCATAAGGTGGATGTACTCCACTCTCTTCCCCAACTTAATCCTACATTTTAAATCTGTCGACTTTTAGTGGTTTCAGGGTATTATTGTGAGTTCAACCGACTTTTTGTAAGTCTTAGACGGAGGTGTAACAGAAACGTGACGGTTGCTATTCAGCGACAGAGGCCGCGGAGGCCTCGAGGGGACTTACCAGCGGAGTGCTGCTGCTGCTGCAGTAAGCCAGTACCCGACTCGAAGCCGGAGGATTTGAAGTCGGGCGAGAAAGGGTCGCTCACGCTGTCCCTGGAAAGAGGAAACGGATTTAGCGGCGGAAGTTTTTGACAAAGCGATCTCTCCGCGGCCACGGTGCGGCCACGGCGCCCTGCCAGGCTGACTCCGAACAAACGCCTGTCTCTCTCGCACTCATGGCCGAGGAAGGGGACGGCCAAACCACTCCCGGGGTTTGGAGTCAGACTGCTGCAGCCAACTTATGTCTGAATTTCTCCGCGGTTTCGGCGTCGCTGAGTGCAGGCCCCAGAAGAGGCGCACTCGGACACGGAAATGGACGTGCTTCAGAATTCATTAAATTGTGTACCTATCTTATGTACAGGTCTTATCCTTTTCCTTTTCTTTTTTTCTTTATTTTTCAAAGATAATTTTGGCGCGGTGGCGTTGGCAGTGCTGCCGGCAGCACGCATGCCGCGCAGTTCATCGGTCGCCAGCGAAGCCCAGCAAAGCGGCAAAGCGGGGCGAGGCATGGCGGCAGCGTATTGTCCGGTCGCTAATATACTGAGAGCGCCGCCTGTTGTCTGTCACGCGGGGCGACCGGGGGTCGACCCGCCCACATCGCGGTGTCTAGCCAAAGCACCCCGCACAGCGTCGCATGACCAGCAGGGGGGGACTATGCGGGGGAGTATTGTGGAGGCGGGGCCTGCCACGCCGGCGGCGCCCCCTACGGCACCACTCTCCCAATGCACACGTAAATTTATAGTGTCTGCCACCCATCCGTCCCCGGCAGGCCGGGCAGAGGCCTCTCGACACAGTGACGAACGGACGGACAGGCGGACGGGGAGCCGCACGGAGGCAGAGACAGAGAAAGAGCAGCTGACTTGGTGTGTGTCGCTCCCTCCTTGGCCGTACCCGAGGCGTCGGCCTGTCGTCACAAAGCCCCCCCTCCCTTCAGGACCCTTCCCCGGACCCGCCCCTGCGGGACGCTGCAGGCCACAGCCCGGGGCACATGCCTCGTTGTCGCCGCTGCGAAAAGAACAAAGCCGCGTTTATTCAAAACACTCTCCCGAAGTTCACCAGTGAAGCTTTACCTGTGTTCAATCTTTTCGCTCGCAAACGCTCCGCTTGTCTGTCCCGCTCGGCTCCTTCTTAAAACAATCTGCGCCCCGATTGGTCATCGTGACAGGTATTGCGTGGCCAAGGTCGAGCGGGACCAGCTGTGACTGACGCTTCAAATTACCATGCCGGTGATCTGTTTTCCTCATCAGCCCGCTGACGGTCCCCCCCAAACGTCTTGCAGATCTCATCTTGTCGACTCAGAGTGGAGGGGCAGGCCTGCGCCAGGCCGCCAGCGCGTTGACAGGACACTCTGAATGCACGGACTGATCGCTGCCGAGCGTCGGCGCAGTCTAGGAAACCGAGCTCACTAACGGTCACACAAAACGCTCACTATTCACAATAAAAAGTCTACGAAGCAATGTAAATTCTACGATGAATTGCTTCGGACGATGCCGACCTGCCGCGGACTGTCAAATCGTGTCCTGGTTGCGGTTCAAAAATTTGAATTTCGTCTTCGTCTTCCATCTGCAATATGCCGTTTATCAGCAACACGCTAGACCGGGACGCGACACAAATGAATAAAAAAAAGTGAAAGGGGTCCGTCGTAAATTCGAGGCTGTTATCGCCCTCTCCTCTGTTTCTTCCTTTCGCCCACTTTCTGCCCTCAAACGATCCATCGACTCCACCTTATCGAGATGGACCTCGACGTATCAGCATAAGGCCGCTGCCAGCTCGGCCAGGGCGGCCCGCCACGCGGGACCTGAGCCCCCACTGTCAATTGTTTGCATTCGTATCAGCGCTGGACGCGTGTTGCAGCTTTATTGTGGGTCACTTTTATGTGTCGCTCAGCCAACAACAACTGCAATACATCTTTTTACTGCCATGCTCGCTGACAGCTAAGATTTTTACTCTTTTTTTCCCCTCTCTGCGGTGGTCTGCTTTATCGCGGGCCTGGCGAAGTGGTATTGACAGAGTGTGTGTGTGTGTGTGTGTGTGTGTGTTCGTGTGGGTGTGGGTGACGGTGTGTGTGTGTGGGGGGGGGGTCACAAAATGGGTTTGCAAACATAGTTCTAATTTTACACTCGTAGGGTCCCCTGTCAAATTTTAATGCTACGTCACGATGACCCACGGTTACTCTTTCCCACTCAAAAATGGGTCGAGGAATAAAAGAACACACTAGAGATTTGTTACATTCGCAACGGTATACACGCAGTGACCACCAAAATCCCGCCCAGAATGGAAGTCATTCCCAGCTCTCCCCCGTTTGCAGAGGATAAGCCAAGCCAAAACAAAGAAGGGCCGATCTCATTAAGCGATAAACAGCAAGTGCGCGTGATTCAAAAGCAAATACCACCTAACCTGCGCCGCGACAAATTTTTAATATCAGCTCGTTTTATGGAGAGAAGGTTGAGTTTGCCAGGCGAAAATTCAGTCGGTTGTCACCGGACCCGATCAAAGACAGGCGGCCTCGTCCGCCGGCGCTGAAACCTTGTCTGAAGACCAGTTGTCCCGGGCCTTGCCTTTGAAAATTGGCCACCATGAATCATATCAAGTCCATATGCAGCCGTAAGCACAGACAGCGCAAAAACACAAAACTCGTCGAGTGGCACTGTATTGCTTGCAATCAACCAAAGTTGGCCCCATATTTCCTTCTGCTTGAATCGTTGCTCTCTCTGCAGCGCTGCCATGGCTTCCTCCAGCAGTGCCCCGGGGCCTGGACTCCTCCTGCGCTGGCACCGGGCCAGCCAGGGTCCGCGCATCACTCGTATTGTGTGAACAGTAAACTCCGCGACCCCGCACAGTGGGCCAGAAGACCGGCGCGGCCGGCCAAAACCCCAGAGTCGCTAAGCAGGTCTCGAACTGAACGTGACCCCACCAATGGATTCCGTTCGGAGAGGTATCCGTGCTGGGTTCAACTGTTTGGTTTGAGTCCCATTCAGCGACTCTGGAGCTCTCAACGTGTCCGGGATTTTGACCTCTGGCCCACTGTTCCCCGCTTCCCTCCGCGCTGCTTCACCCTCTCCTTGGCCCTGCCCTTCACCCTACACTGTGACCTGCTCTTCCTCCGACCCTTCGTCCAGCCCTTTACCTCCGCCCTTCCTTCCGCCCTTCGTCCCGGCCCGCGTCCTGCTGCCTTCGCCGGCCTTTCACAATGCGTGAGGCCATATCGTAACACACGCGGCATTGTTGCTTTGCGATAAAGGATAGCAGCATCAACAACAACAACAAGGGCGACTTTTTTTGCGCCGCTTTTGTGTTTATGGGACTGAAATGCGAGACGCACAAACATAGGCGCGGGGCGTATTTAACGGGAAAAGGCGGCAAAGGGGGCTGCAGCGCGCTCCGTCGTGCCGTCCCCACAAAGGGCCCCGAAAGGGCCCCAAAAGGGGGCGCGCCGGGCCTCCTCCGCTTTTCCCAATACGACACATTGTCATCCACATTATTTTGGGCTGGTTGCCAGCCAACCGGACCCGCCCTTCACCAAAGACAAACTCGGCTTAGGCGCGCGCGCACACACATACACACATTCGCACATTCACACATACACACATACGCACACACACAGAGGGTCTACAAACACTGACCAATGACCAACATGGCCGAGGCCGGCATGACCGCAGCCGCGCTACGACGTATGGCCGAACCAGGGAGGCTACGGTGTATGGGGATTTGGCCCGGAGCCCCCCTCACCCTTCCCACACCCCGCTTACGCTTGGCTGGTCCAGGTACGGCCTACCGGGCCTGTCGGGCCTGCCGGGCGGGGCACACTGTGTGTTTGCATGATAGGTATCACCGCCGACGGCCAAGCCAGCGTCTGTCCGCCCCGTCCGCCCACACACTGCCAGCGGCTCCGGCCGGCCCAGCAGACTGATTCCGGGAGTCGCTTACGTCGCTGTTTCGTCGCTCGTACCTGTGTGGAACACCCTGCGAGAGGGATGGAGACAGCCGGGGCGGGGCGGGGCGGGCGTGGCGTGGCGTGGCGTGGCGGGGCGACGCGGGGCTACAAGGAAGTCCGCAGATCCTGGACGGAAGTTGACAACCGACTCCCTCCCTTCGCTTTTACCGCCTTTGCCCAGCCGCACGCACCAGGTCACCATTCACAGACTTGCGCAGTGGTCCCGTCGCTGTGACATGAAACTTCCCCATGTCACCGACTTGACTCTGGCCGACCAAAGCCTCACTGGTAAGGCGTAACATTGAGCGCAAGGGGAAATCACTGTGAATTTCCGGTGTACAAATCAAATGAATATCAGTTGAATTACGATGAATTTCGGGCAAAACGGCTGAACATGTTAGGAAACAACTTTTTACCGCGGCCGCGCGGGCGTCGCGTCTCCCAATAAACATTCAAAGGGAAAAGGTATTTCTGTTTGTTTTTGGTCTGTCTGGCTGCTCGTCTGGCTGAGTGATTGACTGCCCGGCCGTCCTCCGCCGTCTGGCACACCTTCAAACACACCTCGCCGTGTTTGCCCCCTGCAGGCCGCCCCGCCCCGCCCCGCCCCACCACATCTGCCCTTCCACGCAGCCGCCGCGTCCCCAAAGGGTGGCAATCAGCGAGAAGCGTGTCCGCAAACGAAGCGCCCTGCCTCAGCCCACTTCGCCCCGCTTCAGCCCCCCCCCCCCCACCACATCCCACCTCGTTTCAGCCCCCCCCGCCCCGCCTCAGCCCACCCTACCCCGCCTCAGCCTATCCGCCGGCCCGCTTCAGCCCACCCCGCCTCAACCCACCCCGCTCCGCTTCAACACAGCCCACCCCACCCCGCTTCAGCCCAGCCCCAGTGCACCCCGCCCCACCACACCTATCCCGTCGGGATCGTGTCTGCTAGCCTCCCTGCTGGGAAAGGAAAGGGTGCGGGAAGAGCCGGACGACAGATGACTTTGTGACCAAGGCATATCAGTCGTCGACTGCCTGTCTTTCTCAATTCAATGCGATGTTTTGGGTCAAGTCAATCAGATCTTGAGCTCTTATTTTCTGTTTTTCTTCCGACTTCTCTGGAAACGCTAGGGAGTGCATGACATGCTCCGCCTGGGAGTCAACCACAAAGCACCAAGTGTCAACATGAGACTATGGTGTCAATAATTTTACTTTGGAAATGAGTCATATTTCATAAGAAAACACTAAGCATCACCCTCGCTTAAAACGAATGCATTTTCAATGAGAAGAAAGTCTGACGGAAGTCTTAGTCGAACGTGTTGTTTCGTTCCGACTCACCGGAAGCAGTCCATCTCGTTGGTGTAGCCGTTGTCCGGGTACTGGTCCTCGATGAAGGGCTCCCTGGACGAGTAGGGCGGCCGGCGCATCAGCAGGAAGCGGGGCATGATGTCCAGGAAGACGCGCTGCACCCACGGCGACATGCGGTGCGTCGACGGCGACCTGGATCAGACCGCCAGCCGTCATTGCAGAACACTACCACGCTACACTGGGAAAATTTGTTGTCATTTGATGAAAAAAAAACAGTAACATTTTCATCACTTGAAAATGATGACAGTTTCATCATTTGAAAATTATGAGAGTTGCATCACTTGAAAATGATGACAGTTGCATCACTTTAAACTGATTACAGTTTCATCACTTGAAAATGATGATAGCTCACTTGAAAATGATGATTGCCTTTCACCGAACGACATTTAGAGTTCATACCAAACTTTTAAAAAAATGCTTTTTACTAACCGGAAGTGCACGTTGAGCACGCAGACGGTGACGAAGATGGACAGCGTGACGAGGATCATGGTGAAGAGCAGGTACTTGCCGAGGAGCGGCACGGCCAGAGAGGTGGGCGGGATGATCTCCGCCAGCAGCAAGAAGAACACGGTGAGTGACAGCAGGATGGAGATGCAGAGTGACACCTGGAAACAATTGCCTCGTTAGCCGCAGGCGTAACGATACCGGACTCTGAAACCAGGATGCCTGGGATCAAATACCCAGTTTTGTCTTGCTTTTTTTCACCTTTTCACCGGAGGCGGATGGCAGGTAGAAGACGAGGACGGTGAGGAAGGTGATGCCGACGCAGGGGACTATCAGGTTGATGGTGTAGAACAGCGTCTTGCGGCGCATCGTCAGGTTGAATGTAATGTCTGGAAACAACAACGCCAGTCACATAAGTATCCGACAAGTGTGCCAATCTGTTCATTTGGGTCCAAACAAAAAGTTCAACAAACAATAAAAAACGTGCATAAAGTGCTACTTCTGCTCCCTTCATTCCCTTCTTTTCCAATCAAACGGAGTGTTTTACCCGAGAAAGGCACGCAGCACGTGGTGTCGTTGTTGGCGCAGCACGTCGACGGTTCGTACTCCTCGTTGCGTCTGGCTGGGGCGTCCAGGATGTCCCACTCCACCGACAGGTAGAACTCCTTGAGGTTGATGCCGTGGTGCACCAGGTTGCTGCCCGTGTCCTGGTCGATGTGCTTCAGGTCCACCTTCAGAGAAACAATTCAATGAGATCACTGCAACGTACTGAAAAAAAGCATTTGCTTCATTATTGCAAAGAAAAGGAAGGGATTGTAGAATTGCTTCGTGCTATGAACGAAAGCTATTCGTAGGTTTTATAATGCCTTCGTCGTCATCGTGTTATGAAGTGATGCTCAGTAGAGTTTTGTCTGAGCAGAAGACGTTTTTTTTTCTGTGCACATGCTTGCTCTTCCGTGACTACCTGGAATCCGTTGTACGTCCACGACCCAAACTTCATGTCACAGCTCTGCTCGTCGAAGGGGAAGTACAGCACGTTGATCTTGCAGGACGACTTGTAAATGGCGGGTGGCTTCCAGTAAACCTCGCCAGTGTACTTGACGGTGGCCCTGGTCATCAGGGTGACCTCGTAGTTGCCGTCAGCGCTGCAACACCGAGATCAACATCAAGATCGAGATATCGTGATCGAGGCCAGTCACGCGCACGCTCGGACCGCGCACTGTCCATCAGTCACCCTATCAAAAACTGGGTGCATGAGAAAAAAAGACTTTCACTACAAACCTAACTGTAAACTCGAAGTACACGGTAAAAACGGTTCCTTCTTTATAGATTTTCTTCGTAAGACATAGAGTGTGGCAGACTTACTTGTTGTACAGCACGATGTCGGGCAGCCAGATGTGTTCGGACGGAACGTACAGCTCCTCCACGCCGCCGTAGTGCTCGGGGCTCCACCGCAACTTGTAGTCGACCCATTTCTGGAAAGTAGAAATACCGAAACTAGTACTTCAACTAGTGTTGGATGTCTCTAATCCAACCTGCCAAGGTTTCCATCCCTTCTGACAAAGTCCTGTCTTGTAATACGAAGCGATGCCTCGTAGACTTTTCCCTGCGTAGAAAAGCGCAGATACTCCTGTGCTGGTGACACTTACCTGCTCCACCCATAAGTTGGTAGTCATGACTTGATTCTTCATGTTCTAGAAACGGAAAACACTTTCATGAGCCAGGGCAAGACGTGTACTACGCTATAAATGTGCCAGTAAAAACTTTGTACGAGAGGTTACAGTTTCTTTATTCATAGATGAACTTTCTGCTCGAGTTTCTAGTGATTTTGCACCGAAGTAAAGAAAAATGTCTTCTTAAAAAAATCGGTCCATCTTCACTGTAAACTGCTGCGTCTCGTAGAAAACTTGTGCACAAACATGACTTCCGTCCACTTACCACTTCAATGAGCTGCGTCAGTCGAAGGCCCAGGTGGACAGTAAGCGTTTCCGTGTTGTTAATCACTGGTCGGATGAGTCTGTTGTAGTGACTGAGGAGATCGTCGTAGAGCCGTTTGGCGTCGGGATTCGCTTCAATCTGCTTCAGCCCGTCCACTGGAAAAAGAAGAATCGTTGCAGGACCAAAGGTAGAAACAAAGATAAAAGTCAACGAAGCATCGCTTTGTAGCACGAAGAAAACGGAGCAATTTCAAAATCTACCGAGAAATGCCTGTAGATTTGTGACGGTCGACGTCGTTGGACGACTTTGGTGTCGATTCGGAGTGAAACAGCGAAGCAGGAAACTCACCGTTGGGGGGCCGGGCGACGGAGAAGACGACCAGGAGGAGCGTGAGGCGCCCGCAGAGCTTTAACCTCCGCTTGAGCGTCGCCATGCGACGCGCAGCGTGGCCCGCCATCTCTGTGAGCTAGATCCTCATCACTGGCACGTCGGGGCAGCAACGCACGTCCCAATTTGTGCGTTTTTTCGCGATGTAAACAAATACAGCACGTCCAGGGCGGATGCTGCGGCTGGGATGCAGGTGGACCGCGCGCTTCCAGCGGGCCGTGCCTCGGCCCTGCCCGGTCGATAGCAGGGGGCGTGGCGACACCAGCGCTCTCCGGGCCGCAGCGGGGGGCGGCCCAACTACCGCGCGCGGGCAGTGACGGGGACCCGCGGCAGAGGGTGCCACCGTCGCGAAAACAAGAGGCGACGCAGTGGGCCAGGAGACCGGCGCGGCGGCCAAAACTCTAGACGCGTTTTGAGCTGCAGCGTCGCTGAACAGGATTTGAACCACCCGTGTGACCTCACCAATGGATTCCTCGTTTAGTGACGTCCCTAGCGTACTTCAGTCTGAGGCCGCGCGGTAGCGACGGCTCACTCACGGGGAAGCATCGCGTTGGGTATGAGAAATAAAGGCAGGGAGGTGCTTGCAAAAGCTTTTTATTGTTGCCTTGGAGGATGACAACCATATATTTTCAACATCTCGTACACGGTTAAAAAATAAGTTGGAAAATCCCACGGAGTGCGTTCCTGAGGCTTCGTCGATAATTTCTAGAAGCTTCGATTTTTGAAGAATTTTTTTTCACACTCATTCAAGATGAAAACAACGGAGGTCTAGGAATTTTCCGAAGAACGTAGGCATTTTTCTTCCGTGCGACGTCTCCGGGAGTTTTTCAAGGTTTTCTTTAACACAGTGTACCAACTTTGTGCCTTCCTCGGCATCGCGCAAACGGGCTGCTACCCGGACGAGACGGTGCGGCTGGCCCTGGCGGCGGCGGGGGCGGCGGTGGTGGGGGGCGACGGGTTGGACGACACCGTGTCCATGGGCTCCGTGTCCGCGTCTCCGCCGCCGATCGGAGGGATGTCCACGCCGATGATGCCCCCCACCGTCTCGGCGATGCCGTTCAGGACGTCGCCCAGCGGGCCCAGCATGTTGCCGTCGCGCTGGGCGTTCCTCCCCTGTGAGGCGGTACACTGTTAAGCCGCACTAGCCACTGAAAGAGGGTACGGTTAGCAGACCGTTCCTGGCGGTTACTAAAAGAGACTGTACCGAAAAATCTGCTCCCCGTAAGAGGTTATGTTTGGGTAGGCAATGGTGATACACACGTGTCTACGGGACGGTATCCGACAGGCGGTCGGAGCGCCTGGAGGGTAGGCAACAGGGAGACAAACGTGTCTTACGGGACGGTATCCCACAGGCGATTGCGATTGCGATTAATGCCTGGACCACAAATGATCGTCTGGCTTTCGGGCCCGCCCGGCGCTCCCGTCCGCACCCGGCGACAGGCCGTCGCGAGTTCAAACACTTGCAGAAAAATACTGTCGCGTATCATTCAATTTATATATTTTAAATGCGTGTTCTCTCACTTCCAGGGCGCGCAATGATAATCGGCCAAATATTAACTTTTTCACCTTTACACGAATTCGGAATTAATGTGGTACATTGGTCAAAGAAACGTGACATCTTGTCACACTGGCTTCAACGCGTTCTTGGAAGAACAGTGTAACCGTCCCCGAAATGAAACTCCAAAAACTGCGAAATAATGTTAATCCGCACCCTGCTCACTTCTAAGAGTTGTTGGCCATAGAAGTGATGCTGGAAGGCAACGACCCGGATGGGGACTGCATTGCGCCCATGGTCTGCTTAGCCTGCTCCACATGCTCCTTAAAGGTCGCCACCTGGAACAGAACAGCGCAAGAATGGTCCAGCGGGCACTTCCTGATCCACCTCAGGTAGGCATGCGGTTCAGAGATCATATGCTCGAAAACAAAACGGTGCTCAACCATTCTTACAGTGTTCCAGCGGGGGTATTTTATGTACAGGGGGTAAGCTTCTGGAAGGATTTGAACCCACGACCTGCCATCACGATCCACGGCAAAAACGATTCCCGTCAAAGCCCCCTTGAACAATTCCAAAGTGCTCCACATTTTTTTTTACAGTGCTGTCCCGATGCCCGGACGAGGCTTACCCTCTCCGCCACGTGCTGCTTGGCGGCATCCCTGGCCATGTTCGCCGCCTCGCGAGCGCGCTCCGCCATCTCTTGCGGACTCATCACCTGCGGCGAGCGGGCTACCTGGAAATGAAATAAAATTCAAACTGTCAAACTCTTCTACCGACTAATAGCTCGTGTAGAATGAATTGCCGACCACTCAAGCTCACCCGGTGTAGTTTTGACAGAAGGCCCGAAGTTTCTCCTGAACAAAGTTGGATTTCAGAGAAGCACCACTTTTGGTAGTTATGGTAATTCTAATGATTGAAATTTCGAAACTCACCATCCCCAGCGGCATTGACACCGTGGCAGGCAACCTGGTTAAACAATGAATGGGTTACTTTAGTACGAAGGCAGACCGATTAGTTTTTGAAACCGTCCAAGTTTTTGACCGCCTCCTCCGGTCTTCTGGCCCACTGTGCAGCGGTCCGCGACTCACCACCAGCGCGGTGGCTGCCAGCAGTGCGACTCCCAGGTGCATGGTCTTGGCGCGTCGCTCCTGGTGAACTGCGGCCGGCCGCCGCAGGCAGTCACGGGCAGGCCCAGGCGCAGGCTGTGACCGACACCGCCGAGCGTGACAGCCACCGGATGCGCGGCTCTGCACGCGAGGCGATTCAGCAACGGTGCCATCTTATTTTTATTCCCATTCCCATGTTCAATGGGAGCTTCTCCAATCTATCGCCGAAAAAGGGTCCAGCAAGGTACGAACCGTTTTGGACGTAGTGATGCTTAAAGTCGGTACAAAACACGATTTTTCAAAGGCATTTTTGACCGTTTTCATCAACTTTGTGACTGACGCAGATAATCGCATACTCCGTAACAAAGGCATGATAAAGGAGGGTCCCCTTGGCGTTGCGAAATTTTTCCTGGGGGTCGCGGAAGTTTTTGGCTACAAATTTGAGGTCGCCAGCCGAAGGAGGTTGAGAACCGCAGGACTTCTCAGAATACTGAAAGGGAGACGTAACTGGCGCGTCGTTACCCCGCGCCGCCGTTGCTCCGTTGCTCGGCGCTACCCCGCGCCACCACTTCGCTGCTTGGAGCTACTCCGCGCGCTGCTCGGCCGGAGCACTCCGCAGCAGACGACGCTCCGCGCCGTCGCTACTCCACGCCGGACTTCCGCAGGCAGGCCTGAACGGCCGCCTGCGTGACCACTCTCCTCATGGCCAGCTAGTGGACCGCCGAACCCAGGATGAGGTTGGCCTGGGTCGATCACGATTTAACGCTAAGTTCGGCAATATTTCCTGACGTGTTCGGTCGGTGAATTCCTTTGGTTAGGTTAGGTTAGCTGTTTTGGCGGGAAACGGATTTCGATTCAAACTCTTGCACTGCGAGACGGCCTGCTCGGCGGGCAGGCCCACAGTGCAGGCGCCGCGTGCTGCTTTCTGCCTCGCCTTGCCGTCCTCTTTGGCGGCGGGCCGCTTGGCCTGGAGAAAGGTGTGCGGCGGGGACGGGAGGGGGAATGCCCATGGACCGGCTCGGCTCGGCGGCGCTGGCTCGGCGGCGCTCAGCCGGCGGCCCGGGTAGGGTAGGCGTCCTCCAGTGCTCCGCCCGCAGCCGCGCCGCGTGTACGTCGCGCCCGTTGGTTCCTCGTCGGCCTCCCGCGGCCGGCCGGCGCGCGCCCGCCGCCGCGTTCAGTGCGATCCACGCCACCCGGTGTCGCGCGCGCGCGCGTGTGTGTGTGTTTGTCAGTGTGTGTGCCATAGTGTTGGATTAACCCCGGTGCCAAGCAGGGAGACGTTCCGGATGTGGACCGCGCGGCTCGAAAAGGATTCCCCAGTGGGGTGGCGGTTGCCTGTTGCACCGCGGATTCCGTCAAGAGACACCCCCGTCCGTCCCTCCCGGCCGCTCGGATAAAAGACACGCCAGGTAAAAAGCAAAACAAGAATGAAACAAAAGTGAATAAAAAGTGCATAGATCGTCTGGAGAATCCCTCACCGCGCGGAGGGGTGCCGGCGGACTGCTCCGCGGAACCAATCATCTTGCGCATGCCATTGCCGGGCAGTTCTTGCCACTGCCCCTGACTTTACACGGCACTGCTGCGTTTCATAGCGGCCTGCCTGCCTGCCTGTCTGTCTGACTGGCGAGTGCAGCATAGCGCCCTGCAGCAAAGAGGAATGCCGACTCTGTCCGTCTGTCCGTCTGTGTGTCCATTCGTCTGTTTGTCCATCCTTGTGTAAAGGCTTAGGGCTTGCTTAGCTCGCGGAGCCTCTTCGCTAGCCATAAATCTCTCCGACTGGACTGGAGTAGAAGGCTTCACAAGTCGAAGGAGGCCGAACCGGCGTTCTCATAGTCGTCTGCGTCCGTCCGTTCGTCCGTCTGTCCGCATGTCTGTCCGACTGTCGCCGTTCTGATCATTGCAGAGATGCACCCAGCACTTTCATTTCTAGTGTGTGTGTGTAAAGCACTGTGTGTGTATGTCTGTGTGAGCCTCGTGAGAATGATCCTGGGGCACACAAAGGCATCGTCAGTAGCTGAATCTGAGAAGAACGGGATGAAAGTAAAGGTGAGGGAGCTGTGTCTTCATTTTCTCACCGAGGTGTGTTTGTGTGTGTGTGTGTCTGTGTGTGCGTGCCCGACCGTAGCAGAGAAAGTCCGTAATGTTCGACGGAACGTCATTTTGACACTTTGCAGTTCTGCATTATTCAAGCAGTGAAGGTGAAACCGAGCGGCAAAGTTGCATCGCCGGATTAACGGACCGTTGGAATTGGTGCGGTGCGCTCTCCTCGCGCTTCGGGACTGCAGAGGACCTCATGCTTGTTTCGCCTTCAAGGCCTAGTCTGCAAACCCATCCTGGAAAAACATTTCTTTTGTATACATCCTGTTTCTGAACTCCTCTCTGCTTGGTTGGGAACCAGTGAGCGCGTTTAAGTGCCCCACGACAAATAATTACCCGCGAACGAGGAGTAGGAGCAACTGCGGCGCTCTCTCGACGAATCCGCCGCGGCGGTCCCCGAGCACGATCCTGAAAAGCGGGGCTCCTAGTTATAACGGATTTGCCTCATCGGGCCCCAAGCGGACGTCCGAGACGTCGAAACAGCCATCATGCCGAGCTCCATGCGGTGCGTGATTATAGTCTATTTTGCGGATCGACTAGCCCAGCGTTATATCGATCGCTCGCTTCCTGAGACTGGAAGTTTCTGATAGAAACAAGGCTAGGATAAGTCCTGCCTCCTTAAAACTAGCAAAAAAATTGAAGTATTAGAAAAGCTCTTGCGGTCGAGCAAAAATAATATTAGAAGATCTGTTGCTTTGGACTAGAAAAGAAATATTCGTAAACCTCACTGGTGTAAATCAACTTAGAAATTTTCTGATACTTTTGCATATCAGAACATATCTCATGTCTGAGTTCTGATGTTTTTTCGGACACCTATTTCTGATGTTTGTGATTCTGATGCCTCAATTTTCTGATGACTTTAGTTCTGATAACATTGGCTGGACTCATAAAGAAATATATCAGAACAATCATTTTCTTTTCTAGATATATATTTTGATCTACATGAGACTCGGAAACGGGAAAAACGTCTTCAGGGGATCGAAACCGAGTCCGATCCAAATCTGCAGTCCAAATTGAGCTAGCTCGCCATCAACTCTCAAAAAGACAGTAAATGTGATCCGATCTCATTGAGATAAAAACTGGCCTAGCCAAATCTTGCAAACAAGACACTCACCGAATTTGAAATTGAAATTACGTAAACTTTCTATTATACAGGGATCTCATTTTTTTGAACATCAGACATCAGAAACATTCCTGACGGTTATATTTCTGATAAGTAGCAGTTATCAGAAATCAGATCGACTTATCAGAAAGGCCTCTTTTTCTGATGTCTCTATTCTGATAACCTATGAAAGTATCAGAAAAAAACATTTCTGATGACCTCTTTCTGATAAATCATTGATGTTATCAGAAAATACTCGAAATCTGATGTTTTTTGTCAAGTTATCAGAAAATCCACCGTTTATCAGAAAATTTCTGAGTTGATTTACACCAGTGCTGTTGCGGACTAGAAAAAAATTATTCGTAGACTTGCGTACTAGAAAAAAGTATCACCTTGTTCGAATTTGCCAGCGTACAGGGTGGGTGCGTTGCGACTGATGTGGTGTTTCGAACTGACTTGGCAGGGTACTGACTGCCCGCGCAGCTCCGCGCGGCTCCGTACGGCTCCGTACGGCTCTGAATGGCGTAGGCCGGTGTGTCTGGTGTGTCGCCTGGAGCCATGCGCGGGAGGAGGAAGAAGGGGGAGGGGGCAGACACATGGGATTGTCTGGGCGTCTGGACTGACCTTCTTCCCAGGCTAGCCTCTCTCTCTCTCTCTCTCTCTCTCTCTCTCTCTCTCTCTCTCTCTCTCTCTCTCTGCCAGGACGTCCAAGGCGCTCTGGCCCTAGTCGTGCCATCCTTGGTTCGGCTTTCGCCATTTGCTTTACAGTGTGATTGGAGGCCATTCGCGCGTCGGTATGACGATGGCACTGGAAATGTATAAATGTAAAGCCTCGCTGAAACTTGCGCCAGCCTCTCCCGACTTGGACGTGGTCGGCCAGTCGTGAAGATTGGACCTACTCGCCTTAATGCTCAACGTACTTCCCACCTCAACTTGAGGACAGGCTTGACTCTTTTGCAAAGTTCTTGAAAATTCAACGAAAAAAAGCTGCAATGATTATCACTAGGTAGCGTTACGATGAAGGGTTCTTCAGGAAACCAGTTTCCTCATGGTCACACTTTTACAGATAGCATGCTTGCCCAGAAAAATCATGTGGACAAGTAGGTTAGTAATTTATGCAAAATTTATCAGTAGCAAATAGAAGTTGTGTGTATCTTTTTGCAAAGCTGTAGCAAATGCCGCGTTTGAAAGTAAAGTGCGGTGGCCTCCGATTTTTTTTCATTTTTTCTTCGCTTAGCAGCGTGCCGCCTTGGATCGGCGTTTCCCACGCGTTGCCGGCCCCAACGGCTCCAACGAGACCCCCAAAACAATTTGGCTCGCCGAGAGCAAAGTGTCTGTTCTGCAATGTAAAACACGCCGCCCTGCCGACCCTGGCGAGGAAAATTGCCCAGCGAAGAAAAAAAAAATCTCATTCAACGAACGTTAATGAAAGCAGATGATACTCGTTTGGTTTTCTTCTGGGCTCATTAGTATGGGCTCATTCCAAAGATAGTTCTTAAAATCTCATTCAACGAACGAGGCCGAGCTGGCGCCGAAGCCGGCACGAGCTGAGCAGAGCCGAGGTCTGCCCGAGTCACCCACCCTTTGAGACGACCGCGCAGGCTGCGCCTCACCGCCCGCCAGCCAGCCAGACACACCAGCCCGCCCCGGCGGCCAGCCCCTATTATATTGTTAGGATACGCGCTTGGTTTCTGGACTCGAGAGTTAAAGCACGCTGACACCTTCATGTGTACAGTATTTTTAAGTATGTTTCAAGTGTGGTGAAGGTATCATCTGCTAAAAACCGTATGCGGCAAATCAAAAACCGTATGAGGCAGACCAAAAGCCGTATACGGCAAACAAAAAACCGTATGCGGCAAATCAAAAACCGTATGAGGCAGACCAAAAGCCGTATACGGCAAACAAAAAATCCGTATGCGGCAAATCAAAAACCGTATGAGGCAGACCAAAAGACGTATACGGCAAACAAAAAACCGTATGCGGCAAATCAAAAACCGTATGAGGCAGACCAAAAGCCGTATACGGCAAACAAAAAACCGTATGCGGCAAATCAAAAACCGTATGAGGCAGACCAAAAGCCGTATACGGCAAACAAAAAACCGTATGCGGCAAATCAAAAACCGTATGAGGCAGACCAAAAGCCGTATACGCAAACAAAAAACCGTATGCGGCAAATCAAAAACCGTATGAGGCAGACCAAAAGCCGTATACGCAAACAAAAAACCGTATGCGGCAAATCAAAACCGTATGAGGCAGACAAGCTAAAACCGTATGCGGCAAATCAAAAACCGTATGAGGCAGACCAAAAGCCGTATACGGCAAACAAAAAACCGTATGCGGCAAATCAAAAACCGTATGAGGCAGACCAAAAGCCGTATACGGCAAACAAAAAACCGTATGCGGCAAATCAAAAACCGTATGAGGCAGACCAAAAGCCGTATACGCAAACAAAAAACCGTATGCGGCAAATCAAAAACCGTATGAGGCAGACTAAAAGGGGTATAAAAAAACCGTATGAGGCAGGCCAAAAGCCGTATACGGCAAACAAAAAACCGTATGCGGCAAATCAAAAACCGTATGAGGCAGACCAAAAGCCGTATACGGCAAACAAAAAACCGTATGCGGCAAATCAAAAACCGTATGAGGCAGACCAAAAGCCGTATACGGCAAACAAAAAACCGTATGCGGCAAATCAAAAACCGTATGAGGCAGACCAAAAGCCGTATACGGCAAACAAAAAACCGTATGCGGCAAATCAAAAACCGTATGAGGCAGACCAAAAGCCGTATACGGCAAACAAAAAACCGTATGCGGCAAATCAAAAACCGTATGAGGCAGACCAAAAGCCGTATAGGGCAAACAAAAAACCGTATGCGGCAAATCAAAAACCGTATGAGGCAGACCAAAAAAGCCGTATACGGCAAACAAAAAACCGTATGCGGCAAATCAAAAACCGTATGAGGCAGACCAAAAGCCGTATACGGCAAACAAAAAACCGTATGCGGCAAATCAAAAACCGTATGAGGCAGACCAAAAGCCGTATACGGCAAACAAAAAACCGTATGCGGCAAATCAAAAACCGTATGAGGCAGACCAAAAGCCGTATACGGCAAACAAAAAACCGTATGCGGCAAATCAAAAACCGTATGAGGCAGACCAAAAGCCGTATACGGCAAACAAAAAACCGTATGCGGCAAATCAAAAACCGTA